TTAAGGCCCCGGTTCTCTTATCAAAACCCAACGACATGCCGTGTCTTCGATGGCTCTCCATATTTAGTCGGCTAGTTGGAGTGGAGGACGAACTTACCCCCAGACAGATGCGCCAATGCCGAAAAAGATGCAGAGAAAATAGAGACGCGACTCGCCAGCGCGTAATGAAGCACTAAGCCAGGCCATATCGATGGGCGTAAACTTTGGAGGCGCGGTTAGAGGGGTAAGCGGCGGGTGGGCACAGCAGGCCGAAGGTGCGCCTTGCGGCAAGGAGTTGTTATCGATGGCTTGTCAGTATTGAGGAAGGCCTTTACTGACAAACTTCAATGTAGTTTCAACACAATTGGAAGCGGGGAGATGTAGTTGGACGGCTACTTCAGACATTATGCAATTCCAAGGTGAATCGCGGGGTCGCTTGGCCGAGACAGGTTGGATCATCTCGTGATTATGTAAGACACCTTCATGCACCACCCGCTAACTTACTTTTACCATTCAAAAGACAATGTTTTGTGCTGCTTGAGTACTCGGTGAATTTCCTAAGGAATAGTCCCAATCAGCACAAGTGCTGTGATTTCGTTTGACATAGAGAGCATAGGTTGAATCAACGAACATTTGGGGACGGTTGAGACCACCAACCCATGGGGAAGCTGCCCCTCTTCAGCTGATCAATATCCGCTCTTGGAGGTAGAGCATAGCCGCACACTCTATGCGCCGTGATCATGAAAGCGAAAAGTCCACTACAGTATTATCTACTTGTTGATTCTGACCTGAGCGTGGTGCCGATCTCAAACATAACTCTTTGAATCAGGTGTAAACCACCTGAGGCCTCAAGATTATGTATCGCCACCGATGTTACAGCCAGCTGTTGCCTCAACAGCGGTCCTCATCTGAAGTCATGGCGGCGCATGGCCTCTTATAGCGTATCCATCATTCATACATTAATTTTACAACGAGGCTTTCCCTCCTTACAAGCATACACTCTATCGAGGCACATACCCCGAGAAGTCGTACATCCCATTATGATCCTGCAGTCCCGAGTTCCAGTCGAGGAATTGGGGCTGCCCGTTGGCGTCAATCACTGGCGCATACATGCTCATATTGCTGGGTGATGGCCCTGACGTCGGCACCATGGTGCCATCATGGTAGCCCCAGAGTTGAGCGGCCATCTCCGGCGTCATCCCACTTGCCATTGGCATGAGTTCCGCCTGTTGGTCGAACATTGGCGGCTGCTGAGACAATTGCTGCTGCGAATGTGACTGCTTCTGCAGTGGGGGAGAGCCTCCGAGGCCAAAGTCGGATGCGGGCAGCTGTTCTATTAGGGGGTGCAGCGTCCTTGGCGGAGCAGAGCCTCTGAACTCTTCCGGGGTTGATGACGCCCTTCTGACTGTTCGAACACTGTCGGAGTGGGCGAGCATACCCTGCCCGTCGAATCCGCCTCCAGGGAAGATGGCGACAGACTGGCTATCTTCCGAACCCTCGTCGACGTCTACACCCGAGTCTGGACGAGGGACAGTGCGAGTCAAGTGGCGTGGGGCCAGGAGGCGGGACGGTGATGGCTCATTCTTTCGATTGCTTCGGTTCGAATAGGGCATGTTCTGTGCGTTGGCGATGCACTGTTCAATGACCTGGATGAACTGATTGCGATAGATGTTCCCGATGGTCTCCAGCGCTTGGGGAGTCATGCCCTTGTTTCGCAGGCTATCCTCAACATCTTTCAGACTGTTCATGAACTGGTTCTGCAGCTCGAAATGCTCGATAACGGGGCAGAAGTCTAGTCGGCGTTAGTACCTTGGGGTTGGAAAAACTGTGTTGGGCGGGAGTATATGGCATACCGAAAGGTTGAACCCTGTAGTCATCGTCGTCAGGGAACAATAGGTTCCAGATCTCCTTCCATTGAACCTCAGTGCTCATGCCACTGGCTCGCTTCCTACTGAGAAGCTTCGTCATTGTAGGGCCGTCGATGCCGGACTCTGGGTCGTGGTCGGAAACGTCACACATCTGCTCCTTTGGTAGACGCTGGTGATCCCTGAGATCCTTCTTGCTGGGGAAGTCTCGGTTGCAGCGGTCGCACATGAAGGATGAAGGGTCGTTGCGCTTATGTTGCTTGACGATGTGTTGCCTAGCAAGCGTTAGAGCACAGCTCGTGGGCTTCCAAGTGTCGGGTACTCACCTCAGCTCGGCAAACTTGGGGAAGTAAGTCATTGCACACGAATGGTGCTCTCTCACGTTGAACCTATGCGGATTCCTCTTACGAAACGGACAGCTCAGTCGAAGATCTCCCTCTGCCTCTCGTGGTGTTTGTCTGGCCCTCTTGAACGGCACGCTTGAGTCTCCATCGTCATCCGTCAAGTCATCGCCATCATCATCCCCATCTGCACGGCCGGTGTCGCCCTTCTTGCGCTTGCCGTTTTGGGACCCTCGACCTGACCCTGATCTCCGAGCTAGAGGCAGAGAACCATTAGACGACGTGGATTGAGTGTGGGTTAGCTGTGTTCCGGCGGGGAATCCATTGAAAGCAAATCTCCCAATGTCTTGGATAAATCTGAAGACGAAATGGCGGAGGAAGGCAGGTGGCATGGTAACCTCTTCCAGCTCCACGCCGTAAGTGACTTGCAAGACGTAGTCGAGAACTGCATCGGCTTCTTCATTAGAGAAGTCAATGGGTGTTGGGGTGATGGGTTCCCATGCACGCGAGAGACGATCGGAGCCGGAGTCGAAGCTCATCCTTTCATTGAGGGGCCGGGGTGGCACCCGCTCTTCGCGGGGTGACTCGGGCGTTTCGTCCGGCGACGGCGGCCTATCCTTGGTATAAGCATCGCATGTGGAATAGCACCGCTCTCACGGATCAAGAATTACCTTGGGGTGCCCGCCGTGTGAGGCAAGTCAGTTTGCTCGTCTTCATCTGGCTCGATGATGTCCATCCGCGGCAGTGGATCCTCCTTGTGACCCGCGCCGATGGATTCCGGATACGCCGGAAACCTCTCGCCCATGATGGAGTCCACAAACGTCGATCCCGAGTCGCATGATTCTCTGTAACGATGTCCGCTCGTACCGGACCGCGACGCAAGAAACGGTGTTGGTAGGCGCTCAGGGCCATCAATATCAGGAGTCGTAGCCCTTGTAAAGGTCGATGAGGTGGGGGACATGGGCATTGAACAGGTCGTCGCTGAGTCGGGGACATGAGTCGAGCTCATGGTCGATGAGGTCGGCGACCGGTCACGAAATGTCTTCCCATAGACACCTGAGATGATCTTCAGGCCCTCGGGACATTTTTGCTGGTGGTGCACAGGTTGCGACAGGCGAAAGTGGTGTTCAAATGGTAGTGAGTGAACTACTTCCTCGATTTTGGCATGCGAGGCAAAGGTTGAATCCCGGTGACGTGGCTCCCGAGGTCGGATGGGGATCTCGACCGTGAACGACTGCTCGTCGCTCATCGTGACTGATACTCTTTTATCTGCTCGAAGTCGCTGCTTCTGAAATGCTGACGCGTCTTCAGTGAAAGCTGAACCCGGAATGACACTTGTACCCGATTTACTGGGTTGGCCTTGACATTCAGTTCTCCGGCTGCCCTTGCTCAAGAAATCCCTTCTCGAAACCCGTCCGTCACTTGTCGTTATGATGGCGATGAGAACAAGGCACTGAAAATGATTAACGAGAGTGATGAAAGAAGACAGAAAAGCGAATGGAATCGAGTCTTGGGATGCGACACTCGAAGAAGGGTAATTCCCCCTCGGTCATGCTGTTGCCTCCAGACTCAGCCCCCCAAACTATGCGGAGTATTTAGAATGCGAACCATCTCAGCATAACAAGGGTGGGCTCAGCTGGAGGCTGTGATTGGATCATGACCACGACCGTCGTTGGCGCAAGAAACAAGTTTCTATCATTGGACAATGCGGGCGTGACGGACGAGGATGCCTCCCCTATTTCTGGCGCGCAGCTTGCTGCAGGCCAGCATACCCCCTTTAGAAGAACTGGACCTCTGATTTGCTTGTGGCCGGTGCCGTTCTGCTTCTCTGACAGTGGCGGGCAGGCAGAAACAATGTTTCTGCCAGTGTGGCCTGTTAGGGATATACTCATAAAAAACCTAGTCTCGCTCATAACGGTCCAACGGAACGTGGTATTTCCCTAACAGCCATGAACGAGACCAGCATGCTTCGTCTCAGGGCGCCGACCCAGGCGTCCGATATATCCCAGCACTGGCACCGTCAGTGCGCCTGTTCGACTGCCAGAACTGGCAATCAGCCCTATGAGGATCGCGTCTGTCCAACATTGCGACTCCATTAATGCACGCCATCGCGACTTGGTGGATGTCGACAATCGTCTGGACCTGAAGCGTTCCAGCTTCAGTTGAGATTAGATCGGCCAGGGTTCTCTGGTTGCCCCGTCGCAGGCCGGCCGCCGGTCCTTCGAATTTGCCCTGCCATTGGATAATGGCAACAACTGGTCCATTGCGCAGGCGGAGTGTATCGTCTACTCAATGTCAGAAGCGGAGCCAATGTCGAGAAGATGCTAATTCAACCTCCTTCGACCCTTTCTTGGTCTTTAGGGATGGAATTGAGCCTGCAATTGAGCCTCACGAATTCATCATGGTGTTATTATAAGAGCGGGATGGTAAGGTGAAGGTCATAATGGTAATGAGGGCAACATTGGTCCTTCAATTCGCAAGCGATAGGAAGGCGTAATCGCGAAATCCAACTGCGGATAATTTTCAACCTAACCACCAAAGCCAATTGCATCGTGACCAAACCGAGACCTGTACTTTTCTCCCCAAAATTGGCCGACCGCTACCCCAGAGTCGATCCGAACCGAGCGCAAACCTTGAAACTCTCAAGGAAAATAGTCTAACGAATATGTCACACTCTAAAGCCAGCTCAAGCCAGAGCCTAGTAGAGTATCCCACCGGGTATGAAACATATCAATTTTCTGCCTTTGAGCAACCGCACTGACAATGCAATATCGACAGATCTTCCCGTGCCGCTCCCTATAGTGTCGATCGTTTCATGGTCGAGTCATCTTCCTGGACACAATTGAGCCAAAGAACCGGCACTCCCCGCACGACTTACAACGACCTCATGCAATCAGACCTCGACAGCCTATTACATCAAGCGAAGCAGCGGCCACGGATAGCCAATAAATGAAAACGAGTGAAGGAAGTCGAGCAATTGTACGATACTGCATTACTACTCGCTCACTTGGTCGCCCCAACAAGCATCTCGATTGCAATGCATGTACAAAGGCGTGGAGGGTCAAAAGAGGATGATTCCCGCGCCTACGCGAATGGTAACGGAAATATCGGAGCGTTGGGCTTGTTGTATTCTTTGCTGTGTCACCTCGGAGACGCAATGAAGGCTCTCAATGCATGGCAAGACGATAGAATAGTTATCTTGACTAGTGAGATGGCAGGCCACCTCACCCGGGTATGTAGACTGCTATTCGCAGAATTATGTACGATGAAAGCATATGTGCTGTTGACCACAGGTCCAATATATACAGTGAAGACTCAAAGGAAGTGTTTGTTTACGCATCTCAACTCCATCTCAGATGCAATGCCTACTCTGCTGTATCTCGAGCAGGAACATGTAGGCATTTAATACCGGATGTGAACCAGCATGCGTTTACTGGAAGAGCTCAACGGTGTCGAAGATCTAGGACATGAGTTAGCATAGATACTTATAATTCAAATGATCTCTAGTCAGAACTTACGACACTGGGGCTCAGGTAAGTGTCACCACTGCTGCCGGAGATGACATTGATGGTGATGGTATTGGCTCCTGAAACGAGGGTGCCGGCAGGGATGCTGACGTCGTAGACCTCGCCGAGGCCGCGGTACGCACCACGAGTAACGCCACGAGAGTCAATCTTGGTGGGCGCAGCAGGGGCCGGGCCGGTCCAGCTGTTCACCTTGGCCTGGGGGCGGCCACTGGCAAAGGCAAGGGTGGTGGCGATGCGGAGGGTGGCAGCGCCAGGGGCGGAAGCGAGGTTGAACTTGATGGTGACGGGGTTGTTGACGGCGGTGAAGATTGCCATGGGGAAGTCGCTGACGGCAGATGTGCCGACGGTGTAGGTGAGAGGACCCCAGCTGCTCATGCGGCTGTCAGAGGGGTGCATGCGGAGCTGCTTGTCGGCGTTGCGGAAGCCGGTAGGCTGGCCGTCGTACTCGCCAATCTTCCAAAGGGTGGTGCGGGCAGCGAGGGTGCTGGCGATGTTGGCAGTGGTAGTCTTTCCAGCGGAGACGGTGACGGAGCTGGTGGCCACCTTGAACTCGGTCTGGTAGAGGACCATGGTGTAGGTGCCGGGCTTCATCAGAGGGGAGGTAAAGGCGCCGGTGGACGAGGCGTAGGTCCAGTACTGGGCGTTGGCGTTGTACCAGTGGACAACACGCTGGAAGCTGCCGGTGATGCCGGAGGCGGTGCCGGAGACGGTGCCGCGGCCAGAGGCAGCGACGTAACCCTTGAGGCTGAGCTCGCTGAAGAAGTCGTAGTTGAAGTCGGTGTTCTTGGGGATGCCGGAGCGGGAGAAGGACTGGACGTAAGGGCCGTGCAGACCCATACGGTAGGCCTCGGTCTGGGCGTGGTTGCTGTTCATGTAGTTGTACAGGTTGGTAGAGTCACCAGCGTTGTTGGTGTTGATGTCGCGGAAGAAGGGGCCGCCGGAGGAGAGCTCGAAACCAGTCTTGGGCTCGACGGAGACGCAGACGTGGATTTCCTCGGGGCTGGTACCGTAGACACAGCGGACCTTGTCATCGATGAAGCGCTCGCTGGAGTAGAACTTGGATCGGGTCTGGCCGCTGACGACGAAGACATCGGAGCCCTCGACGGTGGAGCTAGAGCCGGCGGTGGTGGAAACAACGCCGAAGGGGTATTCGCTGGGGAGGGTGTCCTTGTTCAGACGCGAGATCCAGCGGAGCTCACCAATGTCTGGCTCTGCGGTGATGTAGGTCGCCATGTAAATGTTGGCCTCACCCTCCTTGACAATGAGGTAGTGTGTAAGAGTCGAGGTGGTGCAGGTCACCTTGATGACCTTACCGGTGCTGGCCGTGATAGTGGTGGCCTCGACGGTGGCGGTTCCGAGACCAGAGCTGATGTGGCTGCCCTTGCTGGCATACTGGAGCTCGTTGCCACGGTACTTGATGGAGTTGATGTCACAGCTGGACTTGGAAACTTGGAAGACGAGAGTGTTGGATGAGCCGGCATCGACAACGAAGTTGCTACCCGAGGTGGTAACGCCGAAGGCGGCCAAAGCAGAGGAGGCGAAGGAAAGGATGGTGAAGAAGAAGACCTGAAGAAGAGTGTTCAACGCCATTTTGGCTGTAAAGGGGCTGCCCTTGCCTGGCGAACTAGAGAGAGTGAGAGGGCGAAGTTGGAATAAGGTCAAGCAGTCATAGGACAAGAGAGCCTCCTCCTCCTGGGTTTCTAGAACGAGGGTGATCGACTTTGTTATAAAGTCAAGAACAGTTCGTCTGGACTTGGCGCTTGGCACCCGGCCAGCGCACATCTTGGGAGGCCGGGACAATTCCTCGCCATGCTCAGTGCTGAAGGCCCCTTGGTCTCTTTCGCGGGATTCCAACTTCCAAGAGCGGGCGTCCGCCGGAGAGGTTACCTCTTGCAAGGGCTCGTGATAAATTGCAACAGCTTGTTGATTGGCGGAATGATTGTTTCATGGGCCGGCGACCAGGGCTTCCTCGCCGTGGCTGCGCGAGATAGATCACGAAGGGTGAAGCGGAAAGGGTGAGGGACAGGGCTCGAGAAACCAGGGTTTGCCCAAGTCCCGCTCCGGACGGGTGGAGGAAGAGCAGGGAAAAGGCATGATTGATGGGAATTGGGGACGACTTGGCAGGAACCCGCTGCAGCCGTGTGCCGTAGGATTTACATAAGAACGTTGTCTCTGATCTTTGCTCGATTGGACGGCGGATCTGGGAAATAAGCATTCGAGGTTACAGTGGCATTTGCGACTCCTAGCTGCTCGCGCTCGCAACAATGATGGCACGGAGAGTGTGATGATTGCGGGGAAGTTCATAACCACTCCAAAGCTCAAGGAAGCTTGCGAGAAGCTAAAGGCAGACAATTCAACCGAGGGGACTTTAGCTTAAGGTACTTTACTTTGGTGCTAACACCCTGCCGTTGTTTGGAGAACGCAGGAAGTGCTCCTCTGACGGGCTGTCGGCGGATTGTCCCCTCGGTCATCTTTATTGTCAAGGTGAGGGGATGAACAGTTGAGGAGATGAAGGGCTGACGGTGAAATTGGTCCGCAGGACAAAAGGAGACATTGCCGGGGGCAGTCCGCTGCAATATGCCCGAGTGAGCCAGGAATGAGGAAGAATGTTCAGACGAACGGCAGACCTGTTGCCTACTTTAGCGTTCGCCATGCACATGAAAGCAAAAGACCAGACGAACCAGCGGCGGGCAAGGCGCTGTAAGTCCCGGAATCTCGGGGCATTCTACGGTCTACCCCAGATTCGCACCGGCACAACGTGCAGCTACGTAGTAAGCTCTTGACTCGGTGCTGCAGAGACGGCAGATGAATTGCGGAGACTTGACCTCAGGTCATGATTGCTGCTTAGCTTTGAGCAATATTGAGTTCCGCAAACATTTAACTCCGCATGAAGCTTAAGAGATTGACGAGGCGGTAGACCGGCGAGGGAGCTCGTATATGAGGTTGGCAAGACGCGAAATCCATGCTTGGTACGTGAGATTGTTGATTTTGAGATTTTAAACGTACGGAGACAGAACCCATCTCGCTTTCGCAAGGTTCCGGCGGCGACAATGAGCCGAATGGCACAGTGAGCCATTTGAAACTTGCCAGTGGCTCTTCATTCCTCAGTGCTGGGTGCGATGCCCTGTCAATGTGGTTACCTATTATATAATGTTCGACGTTCCTCAGAGTCAGTGACAAGGTCTTCCCTCCGTACTCCGTACTCGGTAGAGAGAAGCCCAATATCCGCATATTCGCCCGGGGTTCTCAGGGGGGGGAGCTAATCGACAGAGTGGACATTGTGGGTTGAAAATCGCCGTGTCGACGCAAGGACCTCTTGGCTCTGTTCGGAAGGTGGGCAGCAGTGTCTCCAAAGAATCAGAGATGAATCGGGCATGGAAATCGAAGTATTTGGGGGGGGGCTCAACGAGTTTGGTGTAGGGAGTAAGGTAGTGGTGATGTCCCCCATCAGCATTCTACGGATACACAGGGTGGGCAGACAAAATGAGGGCAGAAATGAGACGGAAAACCGAGAAATGCGGGAATTGCTCCAAGAGTCCAGGAGGTCTGCAGGGGGCCAAAAGACCCGCTGCCGAGCCTCCGTGCTCATCTGATATCACGTGGACACAAGGGTGGATGGCGAGATACGTACCCTTGGCTGGCCAGGATATCCGCTAAGCTTAATTCGTCCAAACGTTTGTGGCGCTCCTATCAGATCCACCAAATCGCACATCGCATCATCTGCGCCACTTTATTCAGAAGCCCGTCATTCTTTTGGGCCTAGTCTGGTCTCTACCTTAGTCACAGTACGTACTGTATCTCCAGCCACGGACTTGACCCTCCGCTCAACAGGTCGGCCATCCCCCGACTGGAAGACAACCCACAAACTCATCCACCAACCCTTTGCAATTTCACTTGCATCTCGACATCAACTAATACTGTCAAGACCCAGTTCGGCTGTTTGTTCTGCGGAACAGGTCCTCGGACAGTCATCGTCTACAGAAATCAGACTGCTATTTATTGCCTCAACCGCGCCACAGCCGTTACGCTTACCTTACTCATCGGCAAACTTCACCCAAACCCGTCCCCGAATCCAAGCTTCCACCCTCGTTCCTTTGTTGCTTGTCGGTGTTGTCTTTTCATATGGGGATGTCGCAGATTGCTTTTCTTTGCCGCAAATTTGTTCTCCGTATGGCTCTCGGGTGTCAAATAGCATGATTCGATTTTTGCAAACGTTAAGGGTATAAACCATGCCGTGGATACTTCACATCTTCCATCATTCAGTGCTGGCGGCCATCAGAAATACCGATTGAGCAGGCCGTGGTCTAGTTCCTCATGTTATTTCAAAGTATCAAAGATATTAGTCTGTATTAGTAGATTCAATGACTCAAGTTCAAGCCTGGCCTAGGCAGTCAGCACGACTAAGGCGTATCGGCTAGGTCGGGAGCCCTCAAGAACTTAATCAGATATTAGTCTCCGGTCGGGCGTCACTTTCCGTTATTGAGTGGATGGACGATTTGCTTCACTAGTCAGGTCATTCTGCCTTTCTGTCTTTGTCTCATTTCATTCATATCAGGACTCCTTATCTATATCATTCATTCTTCAAACCCCACATCACCTCCCCTCTTGCTTAGAGTTCGTCGGCCCAGTGCCTGAGTCCGATATCTTTGTCCGCGAGTCCTTGAAAACTTGGAAAATGCCGGTTTGAGGACTTGAACACCTCTTTTACAAAGCTGTGTGCAGTACCCAAGGCAGGCAAGCTCACAATCTTCTTTTCTAGTAAGCAGGTCTTCTGTAGTTCCTTCCTATTGACTTGGAGTCTTGGGCAGCTTTATCTGCTCAACAAGTGAGACCGTCTTGATAGCTGATCCATAATTAATGTGCGCTGCACCTTCGGTACAGAGTCAAGTCGCGCGTTGGCAGTGCACAATGTGCCAGGATTGGACAGCTAAGTAATGGAATCTTATTGTTGCGGCGTCTCCTATCTTTAGGATCATCTTTGGAATTGCGATTTGCCTAGGCGTAACTATCAACGCCTGCCGTTCCACCTACCCCGGATATGATACTTGTCCCAATCCATCTGGCTACTGGAAGGCGCTTGTCATGGCGTCAGGATGCGTAGCGTCCGCATAGTCTTGTCGCTACACGTACCTCTAACGCCACGACACAAGTCGCGTCGTGAGATCAGTATACCTAATTGGTCGTCGGACAAATACACCCAACTTTCTCACCCGAGTCTCATCCGTTCTTGAACCGTGGTGATCCTTTGCTTTCGTTCCACGCGTGCCGTCAAATGTCCTCAGCGTCCTAGGCAAAAGTGTTCCAGGGGCTCTTCATGAGCTTCCGACAGGTACCTTAGGCAGGCAACGAGACAACTTACAATTCTGTTACCTATGCCTAGACGCTCTACCCTTGATAGGGAATCGATTACCGCGAGATTTCAGTCGCTCTACTGCAGTAAGTCAGAGCAACGTTTCACGAAACGAGCTAGCTCACCGATGGATGATCCTCATCACGAGGGATCTTCTTGTTATCTTCTTCATTCATTTCCCTATCGGGAAAGAATGTTACTGTTTCTGTAGGTGAAAAACACCTGGAACACTTACACGTACTCTATTCTAAAGTGGATAGAGTGCAAATCGGGCACGTCAATCCGTGTTCGTTGATCTCCACGCCGGCACCACATCACTGATCATTGAACCAAGTATTAGTAGCTCGATTGTCCCTAATGCCGCAACTCTGAGAACATAGGTGGATTGTGTAGAAGGAAATCACTCTGGGGAGGCATACCAACGAAGTTGAAGCCGGCTGTGGTTGTGACAAATCCATAGAAGTGCCGACCTACCCATGTAGAGTACCTAACGACAAGCTAGTCTCGCCTATTGACTATTCGGGGTTCCGGTGCTATGAACTAGGCGCAAGTCGATTGGGCCACAGTATTGATAGGCTGCGATTGAGGGGTTTGAAGGAGCTCACAGAAGCTAGCAGAGCTGTGGAAGTTTGTTATTCTTCAAGCCGGCTGGAATCCCAGATTTTGTACGACCCGATAACCCTCTACCGGTCTGACAATAAATCCTTGTTGGTCAATTCAAATGCCGAGTGAGGATATCATAGGTCACAAACATCTCTGAATTGATGAAATGACGTCTTATGGGTGGATGAATTTGAAGGGTGGCCTAACGAACGTGGGCTAAGGAATGCGTACCAGACTGTTACGGCTGATTTGAAGAGCATGTTGCACTCTCCAAGAGAACTGAACATAGTACTTCAGGAGAAATGGTCTATTCTTCAAGTCGGGACGCAATCTATCCGTCGAAGATAAAGGTTCCTCCGTCTCCTGCCCAACTAGATAGGTTTCTGCTGATCAACTGGGGAAACAGGTACCGGGAACGAACTGATCCGAAGGTCAGCTTTGTTACGATGGAGAATATGGAAACTTTGATGGGACGTGTTCATCAGATCATTGCCTTTGTTGACATGCCACGTAGGGATCCCAGTAACGTGGAACACTGGGTAAGACAACGGTCTGGCGGCTTCCTTGACGCTCCCGGCCCTCGGGATTCGGATCGTTGGCTTAGACTATCCGGACAGCTAGAATCCGGGGCTTTAACGGCTTCAGCCATCCAATAAGAAAAGACTTAATTCCGTAGATGTAAGCTGCTATCCCGACGTGGACATTGTTCTCCCCGGATCTGGGCTGGCCCGGCGCTAGTGCCTGGCAGTCTACTAGCTTTAAACTCTTGGTCACAACTAGTGCCAAGGCTTGACGAGACCATCATTTCCCGACTGGTGTCATTTGACTGACATTGTTGAGAGACAAGTGATTGAAACGGCACCAATGCTACCTATGGATGACGATGATGGAAGTCGGCTGCGCTTCCAGCCCTGCCCACGTCGCACTTATAAGCTGGACATTGCTCTTCTTTGATGAGCGTTGGAAATACTCGCCAAATTCTTTCTGATACCTTGCATCACCAAGTCGACAATCGGGCTGTATCAGCTAATCAACATGTACTGCAAAAATATCGCACTTGCTCTGGCTATTGCCACAGGCGTCATTGCCCAGCGCCCTGCCGACACTCCCATCTGCGACTACTACACAACGGCGCTGTTGAAGAACAACACTGGCGCGAACCAATACACGCTCCTTACGCTCTTGGTCAACACTGTTGTTATTGGAAATTGTAAGTCACACCGCTGTTGTGTCTCAAGGTCCCTGCCGCTCACACGAGTATAATCAGATACGATGCCGAATGTCGGAATAAAGGTCGATGGTATCCTGGCACCTGGCATGTACAACGGCGCTGAGGTCAACCTCCTTCCTTACTTCAACGGAGACTTGGCTTCATCGAACCGGGGCGGCAGTTCCGGTGTGTCAGTCAACTTCCTCGATGGAGGCGGTGCTGCCCCGTTGATGAAAAACATGCCTGCCAATGACGACACATCCAAGCAATAGTGAGTTTAACCCACTCAAGTCTGTTAATCACCCGAAGAATGCTAACGTGAGCTTTCACTCAGCTTCCTCTTGACTCACTTGTACCAATTCTTCGGTGCCCTTCTCGGCTGCTCTCAATACGGCATGGCCGGGTTCCCCAAGTACAGCGGCTTTGCTTCCATGTACGAGGTACACAAGTTCATGGACTTGGACCAAAATGAGCTTGGCTATTTCATTACCCAGGTTGCCATGGCTGCTGCCTCTTTTGGTGTCGCCCAGGACGACCTCAAGGCAGTCGGTATGGCTTTGAACCAACTCTTTGGCATGCGCTGCAGCCCGCCTGCCACGGCCATCCCAGAGCAGGGTCCTCAACTGCAGGCTATTTGCATTCAAGACAGCTGCCCCATCTCTACCAACTCTACCTGCGCTAGCTACCAGCCCGCCATGGCCCCGAAGAATGCCACTGCGACGGGAGGCATGAACGCTACCATGACCTCAACGATGACGGGTGCTACCATGACTTCGACCATGGCACCGAGCACGGTCCCAACGGCAGGTGCTGCTGCTCAGGGCGTCAGCTTAGCAGCTCTCATCGCCGGGCTGCTGGCTTGCCTTATCTGATAAAGCTATCACCAGTGAAGACCAAGATCTCAGGAGAGGATGAATAAGATAAGACTGGTAAATACCAAAGAGAGAACCCGAAAGAACTTTATCTTCGCTTATTTAATGTACCTAATTTCGAAACTTTGAAAACTCCAGGCCAAGAGTTGATTTCCCTGGCCATGAATTGTTTAAGAGAGATATGGCGGCGCAGCCATCTTCAGATACAGAACTGTGACATTGACCTCAAATAATTGTGCTCACGTGCGTCTTCTTGGGTGAAATATCACTTTTATGTTCAAATTTACGCCATCCAATCGTGATGGCTTGTCTCACAGGTGTCCGAGTCGTGTTAACCTGGGCATGAGTGAGTCTTCCTCACATGTGTCAGCAGCTATGACGTACTTACAAATGCCATCTTGTCGAAGGGGGGCATAGTAATATAACACATACGCAGCATAAGAAGGACGGGTACAGAAGCTACAGAGGAACGCCTTACGGAAAGACTTCTGATTACACTGTCAATGGTAGATAAGGATGTACGCATGTGCCCTCAAGGCTGCTTTGCCATGCAAACTCTACTCATACTGCGCGAACTTTTAGCAAATGACCACAGTGACCTTGAAATCTTTAGGAAGGTAGCTTATGGCACAACACATAACTGATCTTGGCGAGAGTGGAACGTTGGATGGAGTTCGAAATGTCGATGATTTCAAGTGAAAGCATGGTTTCAGAATTGCCTAGGTCGTTGGAGCAGGTACATAAAACATAACACCGGAGGCATACCAAGACACCCAGCATGGTCAAAATGAACATAATTTCGTAGAAGAGGATTTGAGTCATCCGGTTTCCTTGTTTATAATATCACGAGTGAACGTACCTGCCGACGATTGCACTTCGATGCGGACCAAATGATCCCCTTTTCTGCTGGTTCAAGTGAGGAGAGTCCACGAGCCTGCAAACGGTTCCACATTCGAGAGTTGAGACCTGGTCCTGGGTGAAGACAAAGTTTGAAGTAGTACGATTCCTGTCACGTGGTGTACCGTATACTTGTCTAGGCCTGTCCATGTATGAACACTCTCCTTTGACATGGCAAACATGACCACGTGATTCATGCAGCGTTATTTTTGCATCCAAAGAAATCGGCCAAGATGAAATGATGATTCAATGACCCGTGTTCAGAAGGAGCCAGGTCGTGTAGCATGCACTATGCCAGCTAGGACCGTGAGTTATGTTCAAAGATGTTAAAGCATTTATGTGACCATCCCCCGATTGTTTACAAAGCAACCCTCTTGCGCTGTTCAATTGCGTATGTGTTACAGTGAACAATGAAGAAGCTATTCAGTCATTTACGCAAAAGCAATCACGTTTAGAAAGATAAAGGAAGAAAGTCGTGTTGCAACCACTTAGGAATGATGGACTCGCTGCGTCCAATCACGGCTGTGGCAAACAGAGTTTGCACACAGCTAAAAGAGAATAGTCTACGTATCTACCCACTACTTTAAGCTGAATATTCGTTGCATGTGAAGTTTGTCAAATGCCCCCCTGTTGAGGTGTGGTTGTACATAATTCTAGTATTGAGGAAACTAGCAACACGAGTCCAATCTAGTGGACGGTATGTGGCGCTCATGACAGCAACTCTGTCCAAGAGGTAAAGGAGCGATTACAAGACTCACTCGCAAGTCTTTCAAGAATGAACTTAGTATGGCGTTCAACTTCCATGCTTTAGACTAGAATATGTGTTCCACATCGGGGACACAGCAGACGCAGAGACTAGATACTGATATAAAAGGATGACTTCCTCGCCAAACATGGGAAAACTTCGACACGTACTCCTCGTTCACAATCCACTCCACACACTGCCACTACCTCGTACCTTACCATCAAAGCTTCAGTCTCCGCTCAGCAATACCATTTTCACTATGAAATCTCAGGCCCAGACCTCAACCTCGAACCCTACCTCAGCCCCGGGCTTGAGCAACAACAGCGGCGGTGATGACGGCGGCGGCGGCGACGATGACAGAAAGCGAATCAATCCCAACAGGGCCCACTACAAAGATGTAATGGATTTTGCCGCTGGAGACACAGAGAGGCCGTCCGAAACGCAAGAGCAGGCTGCAAAGAGGGAGAAAATAGAAGAATTTGCCTTCGACCGTGACGCCAAGGGCAACCTTCAAAATTCCAACTATCGTCATGTCAGTGGGAGGTACAACGAACATGGGAGAACTGGCAGCGACACTATTCCTGAGGAAAGCCCTTCTCCTTCCTCGAAGGCAGGCAAGCTCAAGTCAGGCGAAGGAGGCAACGAGGACAATACTGGTACTTCCGCCAACGATAAGACAGACATTCGTGATGAAGCAGGCGACAAGAAAAGCGCTGATACTTCTGCCGATGATGGGACTGGCAATTCTGACGAAGAGAGCGACCAATACCCTCCTCCTATCACTCCCTGCAAGCCTCAATGAGATGAGCAATGCTGGTGATAGCGGTGGCGTTGGCAACCCTTTTCCTTGAAGGACGGAAGCGCCAACAAGAAGAACGCCAATCGCATTTGGATGGGTTCTTCTGAAGGCAACTTGTTAAGTAAAGTCACGCCACAGCGTAAACAGAGAAAATTATAGTTGTCGCTAGCAAATCCAATTGGCAGCTGATGCAATGTACTTGGTCTGGTGTGAATGATGATGACTTGCAAAAGGCCTCAAGCTTTTTTGGTCTCGCATGTCACCATTGTTGTACAATTCCTAATTTTGAAAATGCGAGATTGAGCCTATCACTAGGGACTTGCACCTGTTCCATCGAGCACCGGTAATTCGCTACATCGGCCGCATCAGGCCGGCCATAGAAGAGACCTCTAATCACACTGGCCTTCTCAAGGCAAATGGAACGTTCCATGGTCATATAAAGTTTTTCTCATAAGCTGAAGACTAAACTTTTGTGCAAAGAAAGTACTGACTGCCACTTACTTTGAATTGAGTTTCATTTTCTAACTACCTTATCCCATCGACTGCTGCAAGGCGACAGTACAATGGTCTCCAGCTTTTCTCTAAATTCTCTGAGATATAAATTTTTTGATTTGCGGATATAGTGGAAATGAATCGGAATAACGCCTGGTTAGTTCTTCCCCTGCACTCGGATGTACTGTCGCCTTGCAGCAGTCGATGGGATAGTAACGAAGTCAGCAACCCGAACAACAACAAGTCTTCTTCTATAGTAATACCTGAGCATTACGTTAACTGATCTTTGAAAAACCTGGAAGTCAAAGAGGAGGGTGTGCTCGAGAAAGTGGTTGTCACACTCTATCTTCGTAAAGATGGGGCGGTCTCACTTCTTGTGTGAGGCAACAATGCGAGAAGACAACTCCTCATTTGGTTGACCCACTTACCTTTGGCTTAAGGTGTAAATGGCTAGGAGTTGGCCAGTGTCCCTGGTGCTTCAGTTTCTCACAGTTAAAACACCATTCATAGACAGATGGACAGTATAAATCAGGAAAAAATGATGCAAGGGTTTTCTGGTCCAAACCACATGTTTGCGACCCGTACATATGCATATGAGATCCATTGAAGTTGTGTACCCCGCTTCGTGTCCCCGCTTTCCTCGTTGGAACCGTCCTAGTCACTTATCTCGCCCAGTGTCCCAACAAGGACCGCTGGCGCAACGGTAGCGCGTTCGACTCCAGCTTCGGCTCTATCGAAAGGTTATCCGTTCAAATCGGGTGTGGTTCAATGCCTCACAGCATGTCTGGATCTTTGTGAAGCTATTCACACCATCCTAGAATGATATTTTTGTGATTTGGTGGTGTTGTGACGATTTTTGTCTGGGGATGGCGAAGAACAGCGCAAATGTGTGCGCTCTTTCCCTGGGGAACCAAAAGTGGAACCAGCCTAACTGCCTGTTACATCTGACAGCCGATTGTCCCTTCGCTCTCTGCAAAATCGCAAAAAGTCGACCTCAGAAGCCGACATCTTTGTAGAGTCGTTGGGGTTGCTAGGACTCAACTAGCGATACAGTCTACTTCCTAAAACTGCATAGAATACAGGTCAGCTGATCTACCACGCGTCCTGAGGTTGTGTACGTTTCACCCGACAAAGCGTGGTGGCTATGTTCGCCGTGGCGCGGAGGCTACAGTTGTATCACGACATTGTCTCTGGTAAGCTGAGCCCAGAACACTCTTGCTTCCCCATTACAACGTGACACTCTTACTCAACCATGAAGCATCGAAAAAGATAGTGTGTAATATGATTGGAGTTAAGCTGTGATATTACAAACTCAATGGTGCAAATTCTCAACCCGCTGAGTCCTCAGAAACGCCAATTCAAGTCAGACCATGACAAAACACCACAACTCATCCTCGCTTGCCCCCAATTCCCTTCAATGAGCGAGCTTCTTGGCTTCCTTCTCTTCGGCGTACGCAAGCCCAGAATAATCAGGAAGTTGCCAGCCCGGCACATCATCTGATTGGAGTCGCTGGAGAATCTTGTCGATCCTCAAAGTAGACACCAACCACAAGATCGTGTACAGAATTGAAATAACCCACGACGAGTTGGGGTAGATCCAGGACGGCTTAAAACCAATGTCTTGAACTTCCTTCATGAGCTCCAAAATCTCATTGTTGTATGACTCGAGGGCGGCAGGAATACCGTCCGTCGCCTTCCCTGAAGACCCCGAGCAGTGTTTGGAGATCTCGCCAGCGAGCACGTAGGCACCGATGAACGCACATGTCGTGCCCCGGCCCGTCAAGACGCTGGGTGCATATCCCGCATCTCCAAGAAGGGCCACGCGGTTCTTGTAGCACTTGCCCATGCGTATCTGTCCAATCTCGACACAGTAAAAGTCGTTAGAAACACCGTCTTCGTTGAGCGCATCGCAAAAGCGGTCGGCTTGCCAGCCAGCATCCTTGAAGAGCTCTGACCACACCTGCTTCTGCCGTACAAGATCGCGGCTTCTTTCCGTTTCGATGAGAAGCTTCTCCGTCTGCTTGTCTGGTGGACACACGGCGAGGTATGCCTGGGTCGTCTCAGGATTGTCGTTTCTGGAAAAGAGCACACGCTTCTTGGGACACACGCACACCGTGGCGTAGTTGTCGTCCGTCTTCCATTTCGGGACGGTGTAAAAGGCCATATGCACGCCAAGAGGATAGAACGGATCCTTCTCGCCAGGGCTGAGCATGAGCCGTCTCGTCTTGGATCCCTGACCATCAGCTCCGACCAGCAGGTCGAATGTGTCCGTGGTTCCGTCTGACAGGTGGACCGTTACCGAGCCTGCATCCTGTTCGAACGTCTCGATCTTGACACCAAAAATGTACTTCACTCCAAGTGCAGTCGTCTTATCGAAAAGCAGCCGAACCAAATCGCCGCGCATAATTTCGAATTCTGATGTAAAGCCCTGCTTGCCAACACCAGATTTGTTTGCTTCAAAGGTCGCCTGTGTCTTCCCTTTGCCGTTGACAAATCGGACGCCAGCTTCGTTGACCACCTTGTCGCGGATGAGTCCTTCGAGTCCCATGCGGCGCACAACAGTAACTCCTTGGCCTCGAAGGTCGATTTGTTGACCCTGAACGCGAAGGGAAGGGGATCGCTCAAGGATGGTTACATCGTGGCCGAGCTTTGCCAACCAGAACGCAAGGGCCGGGCCGCCAATGCCTCCACCTGAGATGAGAACTTTGAGGGAAGACATGTGATTGGGAGTGGTGCAGTTGAATAGTAGATTGGCGTACTGGTGAGAGCGTTTGCAAACTGTGTAGCTTGGACAAGCCACTCTGCTAGCCAGGCCTGCTGGGTGATGAAGGGTATCTATAGCATTAGTAGGATATGAATTGAAACGTTGTGCTCGATATGCGTCGCGATGTACACGGTGATGGCATCTCGATGGGCGCGACAACTCGGCGATGGGTATGGCCCGCAAGCCGACATCCATTTCGGGCTTTACGAGAGCGCTGTGGCATTAGTGACGTCAAGACTAGGAGCCGATTCCCGTGTGGCTGTGGTCGCACCGGCCAGCTTTTGGCTTCCATTGGTTGCTCCGAGTCAAGCGCGCCGCTTGTAAGCATGAGGAGAAATCGCTGTGAAACACTTCGGACTATTCAAGAAAACACCGGTTCGGTCCTGTTAAGACCTTCGGCCTTCGGACAGCTGGGAGACTCACTAACCGCAACGGTCCTACCGTACTGCCGCGTATTCGCTGCTGCGAGCTTTCAAGGGTGGGCCGTAGTCTCATTCGGCCAAATACAGTATTGTACGACCGGTCCGTATCACTTGTAAACAGGCAAGGCATGTTCCTGTCGGTCTTGGACAGACCGAGAAGAGTAGGCGGGGCTTACTGAGGTTAGTCATATGCCCATAGAATTGTCATTAGATAAGGTAGATATGGGGAACCAAAGTTTACGATGAGACTCCCTTTCGTTGACCATACCAATAACATGATGACTCTTACTAGGTTATAAGAACTATACACTCTAAAGGCGGAAAAAACTTGGGAAGTGTCAAAACGAGTTGCTGTAGACTCTCGAGCCCATCAAGGCAAAATTTACCTGATTCTTTTTATTCAAGCTTTGGGTGTAATCTTTGACGCATGCCACAAGCCACGTCTTGGTGAGCAGATGGTCTGTCTAGATTCCTGTAATCCTAACATAGACAACTTAGACACAACTTGGACTACTGTCGCGGCTCCTGAGAGAGAGCTCTGTGAAATAGCAATAGAGCGATTGAAACCTGTTAGGGGGCTACTCAAAACTTCGTCAAAAGGCAATGTTTCTTGTATTTCGCCATGAGCTCAAGAGCCATTTACACTTAACTATACCGGCTAAGTCGTATGGAGCTAGTACGGCAAGGCATGAAGAGCCGTTCTTAGACGGTACCGCGTAAGTATCATGACATATGTCCATGATCTTTCGATTGGTTCATTGCGCCCGCAGAAGCTTCATGACAATCTCTATGAACGTGAAATGTAATGATCAAGGCTAAAGCGTCACGTACAGTGGTTCTCGATGATTCAGTCTCGTCGCTTCTAGGTTAATATGCTCGGTCGACTAAAACCTATTGCGGAGATATCGAATTCCTGCGTGCACTGCATCAGTCGGCCGAACTTGCTCACCCCGTCTTTCTGGGACTGTACTTCGCAGGCGCTTGATCCAGGCTGCCTGGCTTTCGCATGTCTTTCGGCGTCTTTTTGGACCAGCTTCCATTTTTGCTTGACGGGATCTAGAGGATTCTATTGTACGAGAAGAATTGGATGAAGTTTCACTATACACTATGGACTCGCTGTGTCAAAGTGGATCATTTCTCCCACTTGTTGTTTGCCTTTTCGCAACGGACATACGCTAGCTCATCTCGAACGACAAACCTGCCTATCTACGGAAGATATCCTTTGGCTTTGAATGCCCGTTCAAGGATAGCACGGATGACGTTCTCTTTCCTAAAATTATATTCCATCACAGTCTCACCCAGCGAGTTACTCATGCCTGCGGCCTCCGTCTTGGTCTTTGCATACAGATCTCTGTCATCGTCATGTTCAATCAACCACTCCTTCATGATGAGATGTCTGGCCAACTCGGCCGTCCCGACTTTGAAGACGTGTAGGTTACAGGAAAACGGCCTGTGCATGGCGAAGAAGCGATGTTCGTGCCACTCGGGCTCGCGCAAGAGGAACTGGAAGCCGGCCTTCTCAAGTGCGGGCGCGTAGGCGGCCTCATCCGTCGGGTTCTCGACGGCGAGGTCAATGTCGATGACGTCCTTGGCGGGAAGGTTTGGCACCGATGTCGAGCCGACATGGCTTATGCTGACAGCTACAGAACCGATGGCGTTCTCTATGAGAGACTTAATGTCTTGGAAATGTTGTGGCCACTCGGGGTTTGGGGGTTCGATGGAAAGTGCAGGTTTGGATGTTCGCGTTGCGATGCGTTGAATGATTGTTGGATCAAATTCATAGTGTTTGACAATCTCTTCAATTGAGCAAGACATCTTTCCCAATGTCTTCTTGAATGATTTGTGACAGATTTCCTACAACACGCTGGACAGAATAATACGTGAATGCTGTCAAAACTGGTTTCTAGATTAAGGGGTTGAGTCTATGTGGTGATGTGTCTAACGTGCTGTTATGAATTACTCCAATACAGTCTAAATCGTCGCCAACCAAGGTGTGTTCCAGGGACGGCGTGAGTCATTCGGCGACTGTGTGGCTAGCATCGGATGCTACCTACAGCATCTGACCCCAGCTCACATCATCTTGATGCCTTTTTCATGTTGCATGCCACGGCGACCGAAGCATCTAGGGATCCTCCAAGTCGACAAACCGATATGCCCAAAATGCGCACCAGATGAAAGTGATGCCACACAAAAAGAAGCTGACGAGGTAAAACACGGCGGCCTGGGTTGGTCAGTGATGCTCGTGAAAAAGAGCGAACCGGGTGATCAAACCTTGCTTGCTCCAACCCATCCCTGGCCGTCATACAATGGCGCGCAAACGTACACCGTCAATCCGCCGAGGAAGCAAATGGCCGAGTAGGCCATTAACATCATAGGCGCCTGCCACGTGAAGATCATGTTCCACCGAACCTCTACAAACGGCATCTCCTTTGGGATCCACCCGCCCTTCTTCTTAATCTTGATGGCACGGATCTGCGGGATGGGAGGCACCTCCTCGAGTGGCGAGTGCATGGGCTCGACAGTCCTGCTGCGACGTATATAGAGGATCATGGCGAGGTCTTTGTCAACATTACGCGGCGTCGGGGATCGATGAAGAGTCTGAAAGATGAACTGCTCGGAGGCAGCGAGGAGGATGGAGAAGAGGGAGAAGGAGATGCTCGCGTGCCAAAATGCTGGGCTGAGCCAGTGCAATGAGTCGGGAGGCGGCCATGAAAAGCAACCGATGACGGCAGCTGAAATCAAGGTGCTCTGCGAGGAGTGAGTACATGATCCCGCAGAGCGAAGGCGTTGGCGACTTACAGCAACTTGAACGAGCTGAAATTCGCTCAACTTTCGATCTCGCCATCGCTTCAGTTGTGCTGAAATTTCCTCGTCGGATTCGCGATCTTCAACAGCTTTGGCGATGGCTAATATCGGTAGCAACGTGTTTTGCTGATAGAAGCGGTTGTATGGAAGGGTCAAGATGTCGGTGGCGATATGAGCAATCTTGCTGCTCAAGGTCACGGCAATAATCTAGACTGCGTCAGCGCAGGATGACCACGTTATACAGAATAAGGTTAAGTGAACCGTACGGCAATTTTGAGACCACGGTCGCTCTTGGGCACGCCTGGCGCATTGCCTGGTCCCCTTTCCGGATCCATCTCTGTGTGCATATCTTGATTATGATATTCATCTCTGCTATAGGGGCCCGACGACTTTATAAAGGTCACATCTACGGCGTACTGTAACCAGGCAGCTGGCTTGCAGGCCATGTGCAATATGTACACAAAGTAACGGATGACTGGCCGTCTTCTCGTGACCGCGCTGCTCCCCCACACTAACAGGTGACGTTTCCCCTCAAAGACTCCAAGTCATAATGTCTTAGACTGGCACCCTCACGAGCGGCGACTGACAGTCAGCTTGGCGTCAACTGACCAATCAAAGTCTTGTCGCAGCTATCAGGTAAGGCGAAGTGAACATGTTTCATGCTCGTCAACCAAACCTTCATAAGACGCAAGGCAACTTTATACCCGCGTGGAAGAGGCGGATGAAGGGCGAGGCCGCGCTAGCTCCCGTGTGTAGCTGAATACGACCACATGGTTGGGTGTGTGCAGGCCGAATTGGGCGGCTCAACCCTTTTTGATTTCAGCCTGGAACTTGCCAACCCACTGGGAAAACTCATCGCTTTCCCCAGTCCAAGGTGACTTGAGAAGTTCCGAAAGCCCAACGATCTCATCGAAGCACAGCTTCATTACTCGATCGATTTCATCAGGTGAGAGCTCGTAGAATGCGCCGGCAAGCTCGTCGAACATGTGCGGGAGTTTCCTGAGGACCCGCATCGACTCGTCCAGACGCTTAGGGATATCCGAGTTCTCGGCCGGAAGGGAGGGTAGTGTCTTGAGTCGTCGCTTGATGATGGCCTGATAGAGCAGCGTTGTCAGTCTCACGCGCTTCAGACAGGACTCGAGACGCTCGCGGATCTTGTCGGGGTCGTCGCGAGGAATCGTCCCCTGGTTCGCCATCATGTCGTCGATCATTTCCTGCGCCGAGGGCATCATGGAACCTAGGGCCGAATCGTGGTCCGCATCATTTACGGCATTATCATCATCATCGTCGTTGTCGTCATCGTCGTCGTCTTCCGGCTCTTCGTCACCCCACTCCTTGAGCTCCTCCATGACATCCTTCAGCGTCGCCCTGAACTCTTCAACCTTTTTGATGAAGCAGCCGCCGATACCTCCGGTGGCGAATTGCACCAGATCGTCGCAAGCCGACCAAATAACACCGGTGGCAGCCATACTGCCCTTGCCAGGTGCACCCGTGGAGCCTGACTTTTGCGCTGCTGACAGAATCTTGCCATCCCTAGGGATCTTTTCAACCAGACCGCGGAGCTCCTTCAATACAGTGTAACATTTCCAAGCCAGATCTTTCCGAACAGTAGCCGTATATCGGTCTGCGTCACAAGCCTGGCCTGCGGTGGCGATGCCGGGAATCGGGCCGCCAACGAGTTCTCGGAGGACTTTGATGACGGCCGAGGGTGTGAAGGGTTCGTTGATGATGAGAACGGAAATCTTGGTCGAGTGCGCCTTGATCAGGGTAGCTGAATCACGAGCGAGAGCAAAGGCATCGACGGACGAGGTATCAGTCTGCTGAGGGGTGTCTTTGCCACTGTTAATGTTCTGGAGAACAGCCTCCAACTGCTGCATCAAGACGACAGCTGTGTCGGACAGAGCATTCAGAGCTGCTGGTGTAGTGGAGGAGTTTGAGGAAGCCATGTTGACGGGTCTGTGTGTCTCGCAAACACCTTGCAGGCCTCGGTGGTGGTCGACGCGGAGGTTTGCTCCGATATTGAAGATGTCCAGACTACGAAAATTCAATATGACCAAAAATGCTGCAAAGTCATTGTGCCCCGCGTACTGGATGGAGGGGTATCTGGATAAGATACGTACCTTCTTCGTCGCTTGGGCAGGTACGTACCGATCCTTCCCGCTCAAAAAGTGTCCAGTGCTCCATCCTCAAGACTGGCAGCAGTCTCCAATTAGAACCCATAGTGATAAGAGCTGGTGGGGCAGACAGTGCCGATGATAGAGATACTGACACGTGACCGTCTTTGCAGCTGCCAGTCGCCAGCTCCGACACCCCTGTCAGCCCAACCCACCTTAGGCGTTTTGGGTGAGCTGGAAGTTCCACGAAGTAGTCCCGTACCTTCCTCTCCATAGGTAGTGTACAATACCTCACGTTTCCAACCCTCCAGTCTGTCACTTTGGATTGGATCTGGATAGCTTCACAACCACAACAAATCCCACAACAACGATCGAAACGCACGGATTGATGATCGATTCGATATCTTGAGAACCATCAAGATGCGTCAAAGCTACGGCATGGTGCTTTTGGGCACCTTTGTGTCTGCTGCTGCGCCCATCGCTGCAGCTAGCTTGCCTAGAGGTGTCGGTCCTGAATGTGAGTATCAGTCGGCAGTCGACCATCCAAGTCTCACCCAAATGGAGCAATTAGGCCATTTCAAGTTCATATGGGAGAAATGGAACAGGGTTTCTTTCTCTACATTCCCCTTCCTTTGTTACCTGACCAATTGGCCTGAAGCTTTGTCTTGAAGGTCCATGATCTGTCACTAACATGATTCCTTGCAGTCGCCAAGTTCTTCGAGCTCAAGCCCTCCTTCAAGTGCATAGGCCACCCCGAAATCAAACTTCGCTTCAGCCAGGTCAATGACAATAGTTGCGACTGTCCTGATGGCTCCGATGAGCCTGGCACTGCTGCCTGCGCTCACCTCGACCCCCTCTCCCCTCAGCAGCCATTTGCCGGCTCCCTGACGGGCACGACCAATACCTCCAATGCCCTCCCGGGCTTCTGGTGTGCCAATGAAGGTCACATTGGCGCCTATGTGCCTTTCATGTTCGTCAACGATGGCCACTGCGACTACGACGTCTGCTGCGACGGAAGCGAGGAGTACAGCAAGGTTGGAGGCCTCAAGTGCGCCAACAAGTGTGCGGAGATCGGAAAGGAGTATCGTCGCGTTGAAACTGCGCGTAAGGACGCCATCGATAAGGCTGCTAAGAGACGCAAGACGATGGCCAAGGAGTCTAGAGAGCTCCGCCGTCGTGTCGAGGCCAAGGTGACTAGCCTGAAGGACGAGGTCGCGGGTCTCGAGACCCGCAAGGAGGAGCTCGAGCAGAAGCTGCACGACATTGAGCGTTCTGAGAAGGGCAAGATTGTCAAGGGCGAGGGATCCGGCGGAAAGCTCGGCACTCTGCTCAACCTGGCCAAGACTCGCGTCACCGAACTCCGCGAGACCCTTGAGGATGTCGTTGCCCACCGCGACGAGCTCCAGAGCAAGGTGAAGGAGCTTGAGGGTATTCTCAGCCGCTTCAAGGAGGAGCACAATCCAAACTTCAACGATGAGGGTGTCAAGCGCGCCGTCAAGGGCTGGGAGGACTACGCTGCCAACCTTGCCAACGACCCTCTGCCCGATGGCCTCGAGGCCGACATCAAGGAGGTTCTTGTCGAGGACAACGAGTCTTCAGGCATCAACTGGAAGGAGTTCGAGGAGGATGACGTTTCTGACACTGACATTCGTACGCGAGACCCTTGAACAAGATTGATGGTGAAAAAATATGGCTGACCATGCCTAGTTTACAACTTCGAGGCCTACCTCCCCGAGGGCATCCGCGAGTTCATCCACGGCAAGCTCTTGTCTTTCAGAGTCTGGATGATTGAGAATGGCCTGATTGCTGATAACAACAACGGCGGTGCCGAGTCTCGCCTGGTTAAGGCTGCCCGCGAGGCATTCAACTCGGCCAACAACGATCTCTCTGACAAGAAGCACCAGCTGGAGACCGAGCAGAAGGATCTGGAGAAGGACTACGGCACTGATGACATTTTCCGCATCTTAAGGGACAAGTGCGTCAGCACCGAGATTGGCGAGTACGAGTACGAGCTCTGCTGGATGGACAAGACCAACCAGAAGTCGAAGAAGGGCGGCGGTCACACCAACATGGGCAACTTTGTCCGCATCGACAAGGAGATGGCTGATGACGAGGAGCGCGTCGATGGCAAGAGCCTCGGCAAGGGCCTTCGCATGGTCATGCGGTACGAGAACGGCCAGGGTTGCTGGAATGGCCCTCAGCGACGTACAGATGTCTGGCTGGCCTGCAGTGAGACGGAGGAGCTTTGGAAGGTCACGGAGTCGGAGAAGTGCGTCTACAAGATGGAGGTGGGCACTCCTGCCGCCTGTGACGAGCTCCTTGAGCCTCCTATGCCCAAGGGCAAGGATGAGCTGTAGAGGCAGCAACGGCACGCAGCGTGTGTCCAGGAAGAATTCAGCATTGGGTCTGCTTAGCTTGGCGTCAGGTTCGTCTGCCTTAGACCGAGTAGAAAGGATGCATTAGGAATGGCCAAAACGTTTTTCGGTACTTGCAAATGGTGGTCTCTGATTCTTCGCGTAGGGTGAGCAACATGGAATAGGGGCCAAGGGGTATCATTTTTGTTTGTTCATTTGCGTTACAGCATGGCCTTTTCCCAGTTGGGACAGAATTAACCTCTTGATGATGCCATCTTCCTCCGCCTGCTGAGCTCTTCTTGTTCAGCCAAGACCTTGGCTGTTAATGATGCGGCCATTGGATTGTTAATGTTGCTCGTCTTGCTCTCCTTCTTTGCAGCCTTTGCATCATCCGTAGCCCTCTTCTTCTCAGGCTTGTCGCCGTTGCCATTTTCCTTGGCATCATCCTCTGCCTTGCGCTTCTTTTTGCCGCCAGCTTTCTTGTCTTTCTTCAAGCCGTGTGTAAGCCCTGCAGCGGTCAAATCGTCCATTCTTTGCACCAGTTTCCTGAGGTCGCGCTCCTCGGTTGGCAAGATTGGTACCACGTTCTCGCTCTTGAACTCTTCACTGCACTCTGGACATGCTGACTCTTGGATCTCCTTGATAGCAACCTCGGCAAACACATGCCCGCATGGTACCAGATAGACGGACTTGACTTGTGGGCCCAGCTCCTTGAGAGAGATGGGACAGACCCAGATATCCTTCTTGGTGCCTGGTGGTGTATGCTTGTGGAACTTGAGCTTGACAATATCGCGCAACGACTTGATGCCGGTCGAAGCAAATGTGAGTTCTTGGGATTCGGGATTAGATGGTGGCGACTCGGTGCTGTCGTCGGATGGCATGAGGCCTTGGAGGATGGATTCGTAATTGTATAGGCGACCGCGCCAGTCCGACACAATGTTCTCTTTGTCGAGGGGTTGATTCGATAGAGGATCGTTGCTCCAAGCGTGACCGAGGGACTCGAGGACGTTTGCCTTTAGCTCGCTGACGGTGAGGGCGCGGGCGGATTCCTTGACCAGCTCGCGACGTTTAGGAATGGATCCTCCATCGTTACCCATGGTGAAGGAAGAGTGGTTGAGGGAGGAGGGATTATGGAGTTGAGACGTATGGGCGAGACTGCGAAAGTCAAAATGGCGGATGCTGCAGTTACTTCAATATAGAGCAGAGTGGTCTCGCTGCTTGTGTCTTGCCGTTGGTGTCCTAAGGTACTGTAAATGTTGCGCGAGATGTGATGTTGAATCTCGGGTGGTGTCTTGATCCAAGACTTCAAGTCGCGACGGAAGAAACACCTGGATGCGCATTCCTGAACGATAAGATAAGAAGACGGGGAAACGGAACCGGTCAAGTGGACAGGTCCCATAGCACCTTAGGTACCTACTCAGCATTAGGAATGGGAAGCTACAGGGGTAGCAACCGAGGGAAGGTCAGCCGAGAGACTCCCACCCACCAAAGCCACCACCCATCGCAGGCTGCAGCCGCTGAAGCTTCGGGGCAATTGGTTTAGGAATGGGGGTGCCACGGTGGGGCTGAGACCGGCCGAACAGTGCGGGGTATAGCGGGGCAAGGTCAAATCTGGGCAGCAGTGGCAGCTAAGCACTGCTGAGGTACGCAGTAGAGTGAGCCGGCAGGTACCGTGTGGGAACTGTGCATCAAGGTACCTTCCGTTCTTGCGCCGTTGCTCCCCCATGGTTGACCCTCCATTCCCGTGTCGCACTTTCCGTCACTGCAGACTGCAGACTAACTGCCCTGGCCTGGTCAATTCATCTTTTGAACCTCCCGTCGTCACTTCCATCCCCAAAGACCTCCTTCATCACATACCTTGTTTGTGCAACCCAAGCACTCCCACCTTTTTCTCTTTCACCTCCACCACTTCGCATCGCAACGGACAGTGGGATTTGGTACAGCTGTCACTTTGACAATCCCCTCTTTGTGTACCGTTCCATCGCGCGCGCGACTCCTCATTTGACAATCATCCACTGCGAACAAGCACCAAACGACGAGCGCTGAGCACCACGAACCCCAGAAACCCTCGACCCGATCCGATTCCTCCTATACTCAGTCGATGTTTCTCCCATTCTGATACTCGAACGCTCGGGTGCGCCAGCCAGTGAGCCATGGCGACCCAACAGCAGATCGCCCTCGAGCGACTTGACAATCTTGTCAGGGACTTGAGGTCTCGGTATTTTCCCTTTCCCCCATCTCCAACACCAAGTCAACATCAAAATCGATTCGCCTTTTGAGCAGCTTCTAACCAGCTCAAAGATCCTCAGACGAAGTCAGGAAGCGTGCAGCGCTGCAGCTTAGAGAGCTGGTGCTAGTCTGTCATCGAGGTAAGCCTTCCATCCCGCTCTCGGCACCATATCATTTTTGCGACAGCAAGCTGACAGCCCACCTTTGCAGACCTTCCCCTCGATCAATTCAACACCATCTACGGTCAGGTCAACAACAAGATCACCCAGCTCATCTCCCACGGAAATGACTCTTCCGAACGCCTGGGCGGCGTCTACGCCCTCGATGCCCTCGTCGATATTGAAGTTTCCGAGCAATCGACAAAAATGTTTGCTCGCTTCAACCAGAACCTCAAAACCATCCTGCGCGGCAAGGATATCAACCCCATGCAGGCCGCCGCGATCGCTCTGGGAAAAATGTGCCGGCCAGGCGGTTCTATGATAAGCGAGCTGGTCGAGTCCGAAACCCAGATGGCCCTCGAGTGGCTGCAGAGCGAAAGAGTCGAGGAACGTCGATACAGTGCCGCTCTTGTCTTGCGCGAGCTTGCCAGGCAGGCACCTACACTCATGTACAACTATGTCGGCTTGGTCTTGGACCTCATCTGGAACAGCTTGAGAGACAATCGCCACCTCATCCGCGCCACCTCCGCAGAAACCGTCGCCGCATGCTTCCGGATCATTAGAGAGCGAGACCAGGAACTCAAGCAGACGTGGATGGAGAAGGCTTACGCCGAACTTATGCGCGGGCTGCAGCACGGCACCGTCGAGTACATCCACGCCTCTCTTCTTATGTTGAAGGAGCTTCTGGAACAAGGCGGCATGTTCATGCAGGACCACTACCCTGAAGCCTGCGAAATCGTCCTGCGTTACAAGGACCACCGCGACGTCACCATCCGTAAGACCGTCGTCTTACTTATCCCAGACCTCGCGAGCTACTCTCCCGCAGAGTTTGACCGAAGTTACCTCCACAAGTTCATGGTTTACCTCTCTGGTATGCTGAAGAAGGACAAGGAGAGGAACGACGCGTTTCTTGCTATCGGCAACATCGCAAACTCGGTCAAGAGCGCTATCGCCCCGTATCTCGACGGTGTTATGACCCACGTCAGAGAAGGGCTAAGCTTGGCAGCTCGCAAGAGAGGTTCGGTCGACGCAGTCTTTGAGTGCATAAGTCGCCTCGCTGTTGCCGTTGGCCAGACCCTCAGCAAATACATGGAGGCTCTCCTCGACCCAATCTTCGAATGCGACCTGACACCAAAACTGACGCAGGCCCTCGTCGATATGGCTTTCTACATCCCGCCGGCCAAGGATACCATCCAGAACCGATTGCTCGATATGCTCAGCATGGTCCTTTGTGGAGAACCTTTCAAGCCCCTGGGAGCCCCTCACCCAAACACTCTTACAGCTGTGCCCGCTGTTCCCAAGGATTCAAAAGATCCTTTGGCCTACGAGCATCGCAAAGCAGAGGTCAAGCTTGCACTCAACACCCTTGGCAGCTTTGACTTCACGGGACACGTTCTCAATGAGTTTGTCCGTGACGTCGCTGTGAAGTACGTTGAGGATGAAGATCCAGAAACAAGAGAGGCTGCTGCTCTTACTTGCTGCCAGCTTTACGTGCGCGACCCCATTGTCAACCAGACTAGTTATCATGCACTGCAGGTCGTTGGCGATGTGATAGAGCGATTGCTTACTGTGGGCGTATCGGACCCTGAGCCGAATATTAGACGGACAGTCCTTGCTGCCCTCGACGAGCGTTTCGATAGGCATTTGGCCAAGGCAGAGAACATCCGCACCTTGTTCTTTGCCCTCAACGATGAAGTCTTTGCCATCAGAGAGGTTGCAATCTCGATTATTGGTCGTCTTGCCCGATACAATCCGGCATACGTCATCCCCTCTTTGCGCAAGACCCTTATCCAGCTTCTTACCGAGCTTGAGTTCTCTGATGTTGCGAGAAACAAGGAGGAGAGTGCTAAGCTACTCAGCTTGTTGGTTCAAAACGCCCAAGGACTGGTCAAGCCATATGTCGACCCAATGATGTCCGTCCTCTTGCCCAAGGCCAACGACCCCAGCGCTGCTGTGGCTGCGACAATCCTGAGGGCCATTGGCGAGCTTGCCACTGTCGGAGGCGAGGAAGTGTTGCCATACAAGGACAAGCTGATGCCCCTCATCATTGAAGCTCTACAAGATCAGAGCTCAAACAACAAGCGCGAGGCTGCCCTGCATGCTCTCGGCCAGCTGGCCAGCAACTCCGGATATGTGATTGAGCCTTATCTGGAATACCCGCAGCTCCTGGAGCTACTCCAAGGCATCATTCGAACAGAAGGCCAACGCGGACCTCTTCGACAGGAAACCATCAAGCTGATGGGTATTCTGGGAGCTTTGGACCCCTACAAGTACCAACAAGTGGAGCAGCGTCGGCCGGATGCTCAGAGACGTGTTGAGACCACGCAAATGACGGACATTTCTCTCATGATGACTGGTCTCACTCCATCCAGCAAGGAGTACTTTCCGACAGTTGTCATCAATGCTCTCCTGCAGATCCTCAAGGACAACTCCCTCTCGAGTCATCATGCATCTGTGATCGAGGCAATCATGAACATCTTCCGCACCCTTGGCTTGGAGTGTGTGTCCTTCCTTGATCGGATCATCCCCGCCTTCCTGGGTGTAATCCGTGCCGCAGACAAAACTCGCCTGGATTCGTACTTCAGCCAGCTGGCTACTCTGGTGTCAATCGTCCGACAGCACATCCGCAACTTCTTGCCTGAAATTGTCGAGATCTGTCAGGAATTCTGGAACACCACGACCAACCTACAATCGACCATCATGAGCCTGGTGGAGGCCATCTCTCGTTCCTTGGAGGGCGAGTTCAAGATTTACCTGGCAGGCTTGCTGCCTCTCATGCTTGGCGTGCTGGAGAAGGACACCACCACGCGGCGCACGCCTTCTGAAAAGGTTCTCCACGCCTTTCTTGTCTTCGGATCTAGTGCCGAGGAGTATATGCACTTGATCATTCCTGTTATTGTCAGAACGTTCGAGAAGCAAGGGCAGCCCCCTCCGTTGAGAAAGCAGGCGATTGAGACGATTGGCAAGATTACGTATCAGGTCAACTTGAACGACTACGCCGCAAAGATTATCCATCCCCTCACTCGAATTCTCGGCAGTGGGGATATTGCCCTGCGGATCGCAGCTCTAGACACGCTATGCGCCTTGATCCAGCAACTCGGCAAAGACTATCTTCACTTCATGGGCACGGTCAACAAGGTTCTCGCCCTGCACCAGATCCAGCACCAGAACTATGACTTGCTTGTCAACAAGCTCCAAAAGGGCGAGGTACTCCCGCAGGATCTCGGCGGCGGTGACCGCTTTGTCGACCGGGTCGATGATCAGGCAGCCTTTGCGGATCTGGGTGCGAAGAAGTTAGAGATGAATGCCATTCATCTCAAGCAGGCGTGGGATACGAAGGGCAAGTCAACCAAGGAGGATTGGCAGGAATGGCTTCGTAGATTCTCCACGACCTTGCTCACCGAATCACCCAACCACGCGCTCCGTGCGTGTGCCGCCCTCGCTAGCTCGTACCTTCCGCTGGCCCGCGAGCTATTCAACTCCGCCTTCGTGTCTTGCTGGAGCGAGCTTTACGAACAATTCCAAGACGAGCTGATTCAAAATATCGAGAGCGCCATCAAGTCGGAGAACGTACCCCCTGATCTGCTCGGCCTCCTGCTCAACCTCGCCGAGTTTATGGAACACGACGACAAGGCCCTGCCCATCGACATCAGAGTTCTCGGTCGAGAGGCTGCTCGTTGCCACGCTTACGCCAAGGCGCTTCACTACAAGGAGTTGGAGTTCTTGCAGGACCAGAGCAGCGGTGCGGTTGAAGCTCTTATTGTGATCAACAACCAACTCCAGCAGTCTGACGCAGCCATCGGTATCCTCCGTAAAGCACAACTTTACAAAGAGGGGATTCAACTTAGAGAGACGTGGTTCGAAAAGCTGGAGAGGTGGGAGGAAGCTCTTGCTTTCTACTCGAAGCGCGAGTCGGAAGTTCCGGAAGATAAGCCCGTTCCTGTCGAGATTATCATGGGTAAAATGCGGTGCTTACACGCTCTCGGCGAGTGGGAAGCTCTTGCTGGTATTGCAGGCACAACCTGGGCCAACTCGTCGCCCGACGTACAGCGCCTCATTGCGCCGCTCGCAACAGCCGCCGCATGGGGCCTCAGCAAGTGGGATTCTATGGACAACTACTTGCAATCCATGAAGCGGTACTCTACTGATCGTTCCTTCTTTGGCGCTATTCTCGCCCTGCACCGCAATCAGTTTAGGGAAGCTGTCAATTGCGTGCAGCAAGCTCGAGAGGGACTTGATACCGAGCTCAGTGCGTTGGTTAGTGAGTCGTACAATCGCGCGTATCAGGTCGTCGTCAGAGTCCAAATGCTGGCCGAGCTAGAAGAGCTCATCGTCTACAAGCAGACAGACGACAAAAAGAAGGCGACAATGCGGCGCACCTGGGAGACGAGACTCAAGGGATGCCAGCGCAACGTGGAGGTTTGGCAGAGAATGCTGCGCCTTCGCAATCTGGTCATTACGCCCACGGAGAACATGCACATGTGGATCAAGTTTGCCAACCTTTGCCGCAAGTCTGGTCGCATGGGCCTGGCCGAAAAGTCTCTGAAGTCAATCATTGGTGTCGAGGCTCCGCTGGAGACCTTGATCCCTTACTGGAACGAGAGACAGCAGCCGAACGCCGCCATGCCGCGAAACATCCCATCGCAGGTCATCTATGCTATGCTCAAGTACGAGTGGGAAGTCGGTCAGCAGCCCGCGTTCCGTACCTCTGGCATTGCTGAGCGCACTTTGTACTGCCTGCGCAAGTTTACAAACGACTCGGCGCACCGCTACGAGGCGACTAAGGCGCATCTCACGGCACAGGCTCCCAATGGAATGGACTTGTCGAGTGACTACGGATTCCCGCACCAGATCGACCCCAGTCTGATGAATCCTCAGACTCAAAAGGCACTCTACGACCAGACCGTTCTGTTGGCCAAGTGCTACCTGCGCCAGGGTGAATGGCTCATCGACCTGAACAAGGAGAACTGGCAGTACGAGCACGTCCAGGATATCTTGACCTCGTACTCGCAGGCTACCAAGTACAACCCGCGCTGGTACAAGGCTTGGCACGCTTGGGCTCTGGCCAACTTTGAGATTGTCCAGGCCTTGTCTACTCGTGGTGAGAGAACTGATCACATGGTTGTTGAGCATGTGGTTCCGGCTGTCAGAGGCTTCTTCAAGTCAATCGCGCTGTCTGCGGGAAGCTCTCTGCAGGACACACTCCGCCTTCTGACACTGTGGTTCACGCATGGTGCCAGTGCCGATGTTAATGCCGCCGTCACTGAAGGTTTCACCAATGTCAGCGTCGACACCTGGCTGGAAGTCATTCCCCAGCTCATCGCTCGAATCAACCAGCCGACGCGCCGCGTTCAGCAGTCGATTCATAGCCTCCTCGCAGATGTTGGTAGGGCTCATCCGCAGGCGCTGGTCTACCCGCTGACGGTAGCGATGAAATCTTCGCAAAACACCCGCCGTTCGAGGTCTGCTGCTCAGATTATGGATAGTATGCGTCAACACAGCGCCAACCTCGTTTCCCAAGCCGACATTGTCAGCCACGAGCTTATCAGGGTCGCGGTTCTTTGGCATGAACAATGGCACGAGGGCCTCGAGGAGGCATCGCGACTGTACTTTGGTGATCATAACATCGAAGGCATGTTTGCCACTCTCGAGCCTCTTCATGATCAACTCGAGCGCGGTCCAGAGACTCTTCGCGAGATCTCCTTTACGCAAGCCTTTGGCAGAGATCTCACCGAGGCTCGCGAGTGGTGCCGTCAGTACGAGGCCAGCAGAGACGTCAATGATCTCAATCAGGCTTGGGATCTCTACTATCAAGTATTCCGGCGCATCTCACGACAGTTGCCCCAGCTCACTACGCTTGAGCTACCTTACTGCTCGCCCAAGCTACTGGCCGCCAAGGATCTTGATCTCGCTGTGCCTGGAACTTACCGCAGTGGTCAACCCATTGTCCGCATCATGGAGTTTGAGGGTACCTTTACTGTTATTAATAGTAAGCAGAGGCCTCGCAAGCTCAACATTAGCGGCAGCGATGGTGTTTCATACGCCTTTTTGCTCAAGGGCCACGAGGATATTCGCCAAGACGAACGAGTTATGCAGTTGTTCGGTTTGTGCAATACCTTGTTGGCGAACGATTCTGAATGTTACAAGCGTCACTTGAACATCCAACGATACCCGGCTATCCCGTTGTCACAAAACTCGGGTCTGCTGGGTTGGGTGCCCAACAGTGACACTCTTCACGTGCTAATAAGGGAATACCGTGAAAGCAGGAAGATTCTCCTTAATATCGAGCATCGCATCATGCTCCAGATGGCTCCCGACTACGACAACCTCACTCTCATGCAGAAGGTTGAAGTGTTCGGCTATGCACTGGACAATACTACTGGCCAGGATCTCTATCGGGTATTGTGGCTTAAGAGTAAGAGTTCAGAAGCATGGCTGGAGCGCCGCACCAATTACACACGCTCTTTGGGCGTCATGTCGATGGTTGGATACATTCTCGGTCTTGGTGACCGTCATCCGTCCAACCTCATGCTCGACCGCGTAACAGGCAAGATCATCCACATCGACTTTGGCGACTGCTTCGAAGTGGCTATGAAACGCGAGAAGTACCCAGAGCGTGTGCCGTTCCGACTGACCCGCATGCTCACCTACGCCATGGAAGTCAGCAACATCGAGGGAAGCTTCCGTATCACCTGCGAGCATGTCATGAGAGTCTTGCGAGACAACAAGGACAGCGTGATGGCTGTCTTGGAAGCGGTATGTTTCTTCTCCCAGTCCATGTCTTGAATCCTCCAAGCTAATCGCCTCGCAGTTCATTCACGATCCTCTCCTGACCTGGCGCCTTACTAATGCTGCCAGTCCGGCGGGACCTAACTTCCGATCTGAACGCGAGACTTCGCTTGCTGGCCCGCAAGCTGCCAGAGCACGCCGTCCCTCTGTTCTCGACGCAGACGTGGCGCCGTCGGAGCTGCTTGCCACAGGAGATCCCGGTATGCCCGGGGGCCCTGTCGCGCGCTCCCGGTCAAGAACAAACTCATCAATGGCACACGAGGGCAGTGTTGTTAATGGCAACAACGGACCGGACCCCACCGAAATCCAGAATGCTCGGGCCGTCGAGGTGCTCGATCGCGTCTCTCAGAAGTTGACTGGCAAGGACTTCAAGCCGAACGAGGAGCTTGATGTAATAAACCAGGTCAATAAGCTCATCACGGAGGCGACAAAGTTGGAGAATCTCTGCCAGCACTACATAGGATGGTGCAGCTTCTGGTAATCCCGATGTTGTTTTAGGTTTGGGTGAGGGATTGAGAGCACCCATGGTTCTCAAAGGGCTTTCATGTGGATACGAACTCGGTGGGTTCGTGGGAAGGGTTACGCTTATGTGAGCGCTCGCGGCGGTGTTTGCGGTATTTCTCTTCAATGTGTTTTTAACTCTTCTGGCATGTTGCCAGGCGTTTTCGTTTTCGTTGGTTTTGTTAGTGTATACCAGGTCAAGGGTCAAGGGCTTTAGCAGTACATTCTGGACTTTGCAGACGGCCTCTTTTGTTTCTCGAGGTATCATGGCATGGCGTCGTGGTAGACAGAAAATCAATCAATGGGTAATTTCAAAGGGAATGCATCTAAGTGGTGTCTAAGGTATGTATGTCCAGGTAAACGTAATCAAACGCTGGTTACGGCAATGCATTCTCGTCTTTGAGATGACACTCTTAACTCAATGGTGACCTCTTGGCCTACGCCTTTTTCAGGGTGACGCCGAACGGTCGCGGCGAAATGCTCTCGGCCGACCCATCCTCGGCAATGGTGATGGTGAAGTCGTCCAAAGCGAGGTAGTTGTAGGTCTTGCGATCGATCAAGCCCCATGTCTGACAGTCGCCGTCGGGGTATACAAGTGTGTCACCAACGTCCGGCTCGTCGTGGTTCTTGTACACGGCACGCCATGACCACTGGTCGCCCTCTCTGATGTTGGTGGGGTAGACCCTGCCGCTGACGTTGAAAGCCTGGATCTTGGAGCCGACGCCGTAGCTGGGGATGTGAGAGAGCACGTCGAAGCCGCGTACGGTGTAGTTTGTCAGAGACAAGCCTGGGCCGTCGTCGATGGATAGTGTTAGCGTCGAGTTTGATTTCTCGTCGATGTACTCGCCCGCCAAGACTGCGGCCGCGTGCTCCTTGTTCGCTTTCTCGAGGGCCGGGATGAGGGCTTGGATGACGGGGGAGATGACTTGAGAGGGGAACTGGAAGGTGCCTGCGGCTTCGGCACCGGCGGTGAGGATGGAGATGACGAGGTCGTAGTCGGGGATGAGGAGGAGGACATTGGTGTATAGGCCGAGGTCGCCGGACTTGGTGTAGATGCTGACGGGGACGCCTGAGTCGAGAAGAGTGGAAGTGGTCCAGATCTCCCAGGGTGCGCCGATGGAATAGCCGCGGGAGGAGGTGAAGGCGCGTGGCTTCAACCAGGAACCTGTGTCGATGCCGACCTTGTCGGAGAGAATCGCGGTTCCGAAGGTAAGCATGTCGCGGGTGTTTGTGTAGATGCCGCCGGCAGCAGCATATGCGCCGAAGTCGCCGCCCCAGGTGGGTTCCTGGAAGGGAATGAAGCCTGAGCCCTTTGCCGGTGTGGCGATGGAAGTCTTTGTCAGGCCGAGAGGCTTGAGGATGGTGTCGGTGAGGATGGTTTCATAGGTTTGGTTGGACGCCGCTTCGACTGCGAGGGCGAGGAGGGCGATGCCGATGTTGGAGTAGACGGGGGTGGTGTGTGGGCGGAAGACGAGGGGTTTCTCATTGAGGCCGTGGAGAAGGTCTGTATGCTGTCAGAGGTCCGCCGTGGGATTGTATAGATGGGAAATATGGCTTACCTTTTCTTGAGCAGGGCTTGGTGCCGAGGAGACCGGAGCAAGTCGGCTTGGTGTCGTTGGACACAGGGGGAAGACCCATTGATGCCCAGGCGCCGGGGAAGACGGCGAGGTCAGTGGCGACTTGACACTTTTAGTATTGTAAAGTTGAGGAAGATTGACGAGGAGTAAACCTACTGTCGCCGCCCAGTCCGGAGACATGAGAAGCCAAGTCTTCAATAGTGATATTGTCCCACGGGATGAAGTTGAGCTGGCCTTCATTCTTCACGGCATCGGTCTTGAGTTGCGGCAGGTACCTGGTCACGGGATCGGTCCCCTTGATTTGCGAGTTTTTCAGAGCGGTGAGGGTTGTGAAGACCTTGGTAATGCTTCCTCCACGGTATACGGTGTCGATATCGACCTTTGCAACACTGCGGTTATCTGCGACGGGAGGTGTGTAGTGCCAATCGAAGAGGGGCGCATCTTCGTGTATGGACTTGACGCCAATGGAGATTGCAGTGAAGTTCAGAACGGAGGTGAAGTTGACGAGGCCTTCTTGGATTTGGAGGATGGTTTCTTGTACTATTGTCGAGTTGCTTGGTGTTTTGGTGGAGGGTAACGTCGGCCCTAATGGCGGGCAGGGATTGGCTTGGGAGGCAGTGATTAAAGAGATTGCCGTGAGGGCAAGGAGTGAGGTTTTGAGCACCATCTCGAGAGATGCTCAATCACGGATGGTGAGTGGGAAACGATACACTAGTAAGATTCGTGAACTTGAGTTTTCTCGTTGAGAGGAAGCCCTTCTCGAAGTCGTCGCCCATCCAGACTCAATTATATCGTTTTTACAAGACTGAGATTCCTAATACGTTTGTACGAATGTTTCGCCCTGCGACGCCCTGCGAGTCTCTAGGCAGAAGCTATTCCTGGGTCTTAGACTATGATGAAGACTAAGCCACGACGATGCGCGACATAAAGCTACAGCAAGCGACGTTGAGCCCTCAAAAGCTCGGGACAGAGCCTTTCAAAGTCCGGCATCGCCAATCACGGCTCGTCTGACAGACGATCAACAGCCATAGCGTCCGGTTGGATGAGCAGGATAGACGACGCTATACTAGCGGGGAGGAGGTGGCAGCTTACCTTATATGGCATGGTTTTGGTCAAATTAAGGTTAATTCTAGGGACATTGGCCTTTGTTGCCTGTGCTCAGCCACCAACCTATGGCCTTCCAATCGATGACCCCTGTGACAAGTGTACCTATGTGGGAGAGAGGAAGAGCTGGGATGACGGGGGAATTGGGACGCGGCAACAAGGCCGTAGGTCCGTAGGGCGACGCAAAGACCGGGAACGGATTGAAAAGAGACCCGTTCATCTGGGTCTAGCGTACCGTGTGGGCTGAAGAATGGGTGCGGCGTCAAGGCAGCAAGGAACAGAGCCACTGAGCCAGTGAGACGGTAGGTTGGTCGGTATTTGCCGGTGACTGTATGATGCAATGTCAGGGGTTGAGGCTCTTTTTGTACGGTACATTATCTAGAATCACGGATACGGATACCTTGGTTGGCGTTGATAGCAGAGGATGGGTACCATGTAAAAGAAGAAACAGGGCCGTAGGCAACGGGATCAACGGGCGCCCCCGTATCCGCACCGCTGAACCGCTGAACCGAGTGGGATCCTGCGGGGGCCGGCTCGGGGCCCCACTACAGCTCAGCGATTGGTCCGCTCGGGACGGTAGTCCGAGATCTGTGACGAATCAGAGGCGCGTAGACCCGCGACTTGGCCCCGTTAAAATGGGTAATGTGCCGTTGGGGCCCGTGAGCCTTGGTTCTCCCAGCAGAAGAAGGTGCGCCCTGGGTGGCCCGCTGAGCTGCTCCTTCCCCTGCACGAATACGGCGCATTACAACCTGGAAGGTGCAGTCTGCAGTCTGGAATTCTAGGCTGAGCCGCTTCCTTCCACTTGTTCCACAACCCGAGTCGCCCAAATGCAGTGCAATCAGACAACCACACACACACACAACTTCACCTCTTCTGGCGCATCTCACCACGATGGGACATGGGCCTGCAGCTGGGGCAGTGACAGGGCTGACATCTGAAAGGCCACTAGCCAAACTATCCTTGGATTACCTCCTACGGATACAGACTACGTTACCTTTCCCAGTGCCCGACCTACCTTGACCACCTCACCTTGTCGACCCTCGATTTGTATCCGCTATTATCCCCATGTCGCGACCGTCACCATAACTCCAGGCAGAGACATTCTCTGAGCTCTCGTTCGACAACTCCTGGGAATCCAACGGAATCGTCTCTACAAATTGAGAAGCTTGGCTCAACAGAGTACCGTGTCCGCTCCGTATCTATCTCACCTGCTACCTTGTTACACCTCGGCTTGGGCGGGAATCTCGCTTCCATCACCTCAAATCGCCAGGGAGTGGATTTTTCACGGTTAAGGGTTCCGCTCCTCACTGATTGCTGTAGACCTAGCTTGTTGCAAGGGGGTCACCGTCATCAATTGATGCCAAAGACTGCTCCGTGCAGAACGATATACAAAGGTCGCAGGTTTCACTACAATACACTAAATGGCACCTTGGCCGTGATTGCTAGACTCGGACTTGACACCTCGGATCCATAGAGACAGAACACCACAGACCAACAACAGAACAACGACACCAAAGTCCCAACGCCGCTCCATCAGGAACCAGCCGTGCCAGCCCAGAGTCCAGGAACATACAGTACTGTCCACTCTACCTCTGTCCCTGCAGACCTACGGGAGCTCGGCATCATGAGCACGCCAGACGACCCGCAAATCAAAGACCCAGCAACCACGCCGCCGGCGTCATTGCAGGTCCCCTCAGGCCGGAAGGGCACCAAGAAAGTTCGGACTGGATGTGTGACCTGCAAGTTGAGTCCGAGCCTCCCTATCAATCCCATCACTACATCTGCCATCCCATCTCCAGCCCATGTTCATCTTACACTCATCTAACTTCTCTCCACCTTTCTTGCTAATTCCTCGTCCAAACACCTAGGATTCGAAAAGTCAAATGCGACGAGACGAAACCCGCATGCCTTCGCTGCACCAAGACAGGCCGGAAATGTGACGGCTATTTACCCGCGTCGAAGCCGGGGAGCAGCAATGATGGCAGTCCCGGTTCCGACGATAGCATTTCTCGCTTGAGCCCAGCAGTCTCAGCCTTTGCCGACTGGGCCGGCGGCTCTAGAGAGCAGCGTGCGTTTGACTTCTATCGCAACTTTTCCGCCCCATCCATATTTAGCGACGGAGTCGCCTCGACTCTGTGGAAGAAATTGGTACCGCACTTTTGTCACGCCGAGCCCGCCATTCGCCATGCCGTCCTCGCTATCAGTAGCCTCCATGAAACACTCACACTACCCTCAACTTCGGATCCAATTACTGAAGAAGCGAATAGCCCTCGTATGCTTACCAACACTTTTGCAGCGGAGCAATATGGCAAGGCCTTGAAGTGCCTTCAGGAGTGGAAACCGACAGCATCATCGCCGGCCACCGTCCCGCTCTTGGCATGCTTGCTGTTCATATGCATCGAATTTATGCTTGGCGACGAGGGCGCATCCCAAGTACATATCAACCAAGGCCGCACCATTCTGTCGCAACTTGAGCCCTCTGCCGATGTGGATGTGATTAAGAAGCATTTCGTGCCCATCTATAGTCGACTTGGCCTCGCATCCTTCCTCTTTGGGAGCTTCCCCGCCGCCATACCCGCCACCCTTAAATCGAGTACGGCAACGAGTCTATACTTTGCATCTGTCGACGAGGCCGAAGTGTCATTATACGAACTCATCGATGACGGCTTGAGGTTCACGACACAGGCCAAGAGAGCCGTGTATTCCTGCCAGCCAGACGATCCGACCTTGCTGGACCTGGCCCATGAACAAGACGACTTTCTCGCACGGTTGTCACGATGGCACATTGCATTTGTCGTGGTCTCAGCCACCGGTATTGACGACAACCTGAGCAAACGAAAGTTGTGCATGGTTTATTACCACGCAGCCAAGATTGCGATCAGTACGGCCATGGACCCCAAGGAGATTGCTTTCGATACGCACACCACAGCCTTTGCGTCCATTGTCAGCAGTTCGGCAGAATTTGTACAAGCCACACGCAAGACGGTTCGTGACCCGTCGGAAGCCGCCAAGTCGATGCCCAAGTTTGTTTTCGACACCGAGGTAATCCCGCCGCTTTACTACGTGAGCATCAAATGTCGACATCCGATGCTGCGGCGAGCGGCCGTGAATCTCCTCAAGCAAGACGCTGTGACGAATCGGAGGGAGAACCTATGGGATGCCCAGATGCTGGCTGAGATCGGCAAGCGCTGCATAAATATCGAAGAAGAGGCGGCGCGTTACCGCGAGGAGGCGTTTGATATCACAGCTAGTTGGGATACGGCGTCTTGGGAGGGTTCCGATGGCGTGCCGGCCGGCCTCTTCCCGACGGAGATGGAATCCGGGATGGAGTGTGACTACCCCGTTCCTCGATTCCAATACCCGCAGATCCCCAAAGCAACAAACTCGCAACAAAATGAGGAGTATGAGAGAACGCGGATTCTTGTCAATGATCTGATGCTGGATAGCCACCTGACGCCCGGGTCTGTGTCTACGGGATCAACGCCATCATCCGGGAGCATTGGTAATTTTGGCGCCTACCAGCTCGAGCCGCCCTTTGGCCTTCCAGAGCATGCGAGGATCAAGAACGCTCTGATTGACAATGAGCAAAGGCGAGGTAGCTGGGTGACCATATTTATGGATCCTGAAGAGGCTGGGGCGGCGAACTGGAAGGTTACCAAAGAGTTCATATCAAGGTGAAGCTTAACCTTACTTGCTTTGATGAGCGACTTCAATAGCCCGGTGAATAATTGTTCAATCTGTCTTTTTTGAATTGAGCAGCATGTCGAGGATAGCGTGCAAATGATCGAGAGCTTAGTAAACACGCCGTCGAGTAGATCAATGGCAATAAAGATAATGATTGACTGCGTATTGAAAGGGTGGGCAACACAATTGCCGAGTGTCGACAGAACTTGAACCTTGGCTCCATGCCTCTCTTCGCCTTTAGCTGTGCCTGGACATGGTGCAGTATTTGTAACTTCTTCCATAGGAATGAGGGTCGGCGCCCTCTTGATATGCCCCGATACACGATTGATACTTCGTTGGTGGCCATTGATCTATTCGCTGAGCCGGTTATCCAAGCCGCCTACAGATTCTTTAATGCAACTTCTTGAAGTAAACCAATGTCAAATCGGCCTCTTCCTCTTGGCAGACGAGATCCCGATGCCTAAACATGAATTTGCGCTGGTGCCGTACGCAACCATGACAGAGAATCTAAAGCTCCAGTCAACTGTGGACCATTGTGAAGGTCTTCCCCCCAAAACGCGTCGCCGCCCCTTGTCCCATGAGATCTGAACAGTTTCCATACATCCAGAAGCTCGCCGATCTGGTCTAGAGTTACACATACCACTCGCCGTTCATGTCGTAACAGCTGAGAGCGCCGTCCCGACTGACCCAGATCCCTTGAGCTGCAACGCTAGTCAGCAAGGCAATGATTGAAATAATCATGCAATTGAATACCCACAGAGATTGATGGACGGCGACTTGTATCCCTCTAGCCAAAATATACGTGGCTTGCACTCCTCGCACCTCAGGCCGACATATGAATCTGCAGACTTCTGGAAGACGCCGCATTCATTGCACCTGAAACCGCCTCTATGAAAAGTACTGTTGTCAGCCAAAGTTCATCAACTACAACATGACCATCTACAACTTTCCTTTGGAAAGCATTCTGAACTTAAAGAGAATCATACCTCGGTGTCCACTCCAGGTTGCCGTCCCAGTTGGCGATGCACTTCTTGAGATCGAGCTTGGTGTAAACGTAGTTGCCTTTCTTGTTTTTACATTGAGCAACGAGGTAAAGCGGGTCTTTTTCTTCCTTCTCTATGAAACTGAAGTTGGTGCATATGTTTTCCATGCAATCAGACTCAAGGGGGCATTTTCGGTCCAAGGTGGCAGCACGAGTTGCTAGAGCGGTAAGGTGGGTTGCGAAAAGGTGGATGGAAAGGAGGGCGGCGAGGATGGATGACTTCATGATGGCAGATTTTGCGACGAGTTTACTCGACTTAGTAACTAATGAATTTGAGTTGAAAGACTGAAGGCGGTGGAAAGATTCTGTGGGAGAAGACGTTCTCGAACCCTTTATGAATCTCATGGCGATGCATGTCGAGCACACTGAATTGAAGCCAAGAGGCTTCATGACCACGTCGTTGCACCAAAGCACGAGGGATATTGTGAGTACAACCCTGGGCTCGGATAAGTTTGTTGATATTGATGTTTGGTTACAAACTGTGTTCTTGCAGTACTACTTCTCTGAAAGGAGGTCTGTTCTCTAGGGGAAGCTTTGCCCGCTTTGAAATACCCCTACATGCGCCCAAAGGGAAACCGATATCCCTATGGAGGTAGGAAATTGTCCCACGCGTAACCATATCTTATTATTGCAGACTCGATTTCGTGGTCTCCGCACTAGCTGTACCATTATCTCATGTAAGACAGAATGTTTTCAGCTTGACGTCGAATGATTTGCACTTCGTATTACTCTCACTTTCTATCTCTTTGCGACATGTACTGGCATGTTTGACACCACAAACATGGGATTTCCCTCGCAAACAGCAGGTACCAAGACATATGCGTTGGATTTGATTGCAAGATAATGTATCTACCCCTTAAGCTAATATATGGACACTCAAACTCAATTTGCGGTTCCGAAAGGGGATGTTGAGAATGAGTGCCATGACGAAAGTGCCCAACTTCAAAAGAAACGCAACCATTGCATGCAGTCAATAATACTTCATCATCTCAGCCGAGTTTCCGCTTGTTTTTCTATCAATTTCCAAAGCGTCAAGTGTATGCCCTCTTGGTTCGTACCTTGGTCTATTGGTCCCATGAAATGACGGCGACGTGCGGGCCTGAGTCACTCGGTCACCGGCATGGTGGAATGTGGCCCTTGATATCTCTTCCAGCGATATAGCTTCCAACGCCGGTCGTATTATCATGACCAAGTATGATCGCCAAGTGCTTCATCAACAGATACAGCTGTAGTAGCTGCGCCACGTTTCCCCGCGGGTTGCGTGAAGACCTCCATGGGATGTGGGGTATCCCAATCGGGCAACTTAATGCGGCACATGGATCGTAGTCCAAAGTCTGACCAGCCAAGAGATTGTGCCTATAACATTACTCGATCGGGCCAAATGAGCGAGTATATGGTCACATTGCCCCTTGACTTCATATGATCGCGAAGGCATTCGCGCACCCAACTGCGAGATAGCTTCGTATAATAGTGGGTTCATTACGAGAATTGTCCAAGGCGCACTGCCGATTGCTGCAACACCGATGGAACATCGTCATTAATTATCTGACTGATCGTTGGAACTCTTGCAAGACCTAGCCTAAGAGTTCGAAATATAAATTGAACGGGTCTTGACCGGAAGAGTGTCTATGTTCTCGATTCCTTTCCTGAGCAGTTTCACTTTTCGAATACAGCGCGCTCAAAGACTGGCACATCATTCTTCAACTTTGTAGTGCCTCCCTCAAGCTTTGTGTTCGAAATGAGACTCATCATACCCATAATTCTTTCCTTGGCTTCAAAGGTTCTTGGGCAAGACCCTGGCTTGCCGGTTGCCAATCCCACCATATCCTACTGGCAACTTCCCCCTTTGGAGGGAGTTGCGGATCATCAGTCCGAACACCTACCGACGGATGTGGATGTTGTTGTTATAGGCTCGGGCATGTCGGGAACTAGCGTCGCTTGGCACCTACTCAAGGAGAATAACAGCTCAACGCCGCTGAGGGTAGCCATCATCGAAGCTCGGCAAGCTTGCTCTGGTGCTACAGGAAGAAATGGAGGTCACATCAGACCGTCTTCCTATGCCGAGTATGCTGGCGCCAAGACGGCAGTATCACAGTCAGAAGCCGCCAAGATCACAAGGCTGCGCTCCGCCCATGTGGACGCGCTGATATCAGCAGCCAACTCTCTTCCGGAAGAGGGTAGACTCGCTGCAGAAGCTCGTGTTGTGGACAGCATCGACGCCTTCTTCGATCGAGAGAGATGGGAGACAGCTGTCGAACAGGTCAAGACCCTCAAGGATGAAGTTCCGGATGTTGGAGCTGAATGGTCCATCTTTGAAGGTGAAGAAGCTCGCAATGTAAGTCATCACAGTCCACCAAGTTTGGTATAGAGGCTCACGGAATGGTTAGATTTCGCTTCTCACTGAGACCGTTGGGATTCTTACCGGGACCACCAAGATGGCTGGTGCAATTTGGCCATACCGCTTCATCACGAATGCGCTGAAATCACTTCTGAGCACCTATCCTAACTTCACTTTGGACACCAACACAGTTGCCTTGAACATTTCTGCCATCACCGAGTCGGCCAGTCCCTCAGACTATGAGGTTCACACTTCCAGAGGAAGCATCAGAACCAAACACGTCGTTTATGCGACCAACGCTTGGACACCACACTTCGTTCCCGGCTTACAAGGCGCCATTCGCGGAGGTCGCTTGCATATGAGTTCCCAGCTTGGAGGCAACGGCTTGCCCAAAGCCGGAGAGTGGCCATCGTATACCGGCAATGGAAGTTTGGCTGGAGGACGTGCCTGGTCACTGTATCGAAATGGCTTGGATTACATTGTCCAGATGCCTCGGAATGGAGAGTTCATGTTCGGCGCAGATGTTGACGGAGATGACGCCAATGTCGACACCTACGACGACAGCCGGGCTCCCCTTCACCTTTCTGCCTCATATCTCAACGGAGCTCTACCAAATCACTTCGGTTACGACACTTGGGGTTCTGAGAGAACTGATTTTCCACAATCTTTGGATCCCAGTGTCTGGAATGGTCGTACGAAGCGCGTCTGGGTTGGCATCGAAGGCAGCTCAGTGGACTCCAGACCATTTGTAGGCCGTATCCCCCAGTCCGCTACAGGCCGATCTGTAAAAGCTACTTCGACTGGGAGTGAGTGGGTGTCTGCGTCTTTTGACGGCGAAGGGATGTGCTTTGCTTGGCTCTGTGGCCGTGCACTCAGTCGAATGATAGCGAAGACCGGCTCTGGAGCGAATGCCAGCAACGGCAGTTCAACCATCCCAGAATGGTTTCCAGAGTCTTTCTTGGTTACCGAAGAGCGTTTGGAAAAGAAGAATGTTACCAAGAGACAAGTACGTCAGTGGACGCACCCACGCATGGCCAAGGTTTTGCACTGGGAGTAGAGTAGCCTTGACTTGGAATGGGGGTGCTATGATTTATCAAACACAGTCTTGGATGTCTTTCTACACACCGAGTACTGTTTTGAAGCTCAAGAATTTGTTTTATATATGTTTGGCGACGTTTGAGCGCCTCCTCAGACAGAAAGCTTTCTTCAGTTAGCTTGTTGACATAAGGTACTTGGCGTAATGTAGCACCCATCTATTGTAGGATTTTGATCTTACCAAAATGTGAGTTATTCGCTACGACATCATGAGGCAAGGACCCATTGAATAAACTCTGGCAACTCATGGATCTAACTGCATAGAATTGTCGAGCTAAATATTTCCTCGGCGTTAGAGGAAACAGAAACAACTTAATTGCGAAGCAAAAGTACTTAGCCTTATTCAAACCAGCTTGACATCCATTAATGAGAGAAAGAAACCATGTTATATCATCTCATTTGGCAGTCTAGCATTCATTATAACCACCTAGGAGCTATCATTTGCATATAGACTTTGGCTCCATGTTTTCCATCGCATTAAATTTCTCGTTGCTGGCCAGGGTCTTATCACGACATCGGGTTTTCCGACAAGGGAGACATACGTTCTGCATTTTCCCCCACGATTCGCAGAACATGATACGTAATAAGGGACAGCGCTTGCTTGTCTAGGACCAATTCTCTCAAGACCACACTCAAATTGGAAGATTCTCCGACGTGAGGTGAGGCACCTCGGCTGTTCTTCCAAACTATTACCAACATAGGTCGGAATCGTGCTGAGTCAGCCAAATTTGCTAGCACGCCATGGGTGCCAAGTTGAGATCATCGAAGCTATCTGCACAACCCTCGTCGCTTCTTATCTGCATACGTACGCTGCTACCATGTTATCTTCAGTTGACAGCGGAGGTCACCGGCAATCACCTCGGCTGCCACCCCCATCTACCAGAAGTCTGGAACCCTTTTGGTGCGACAATCGCGGAGATGAGAGAGATGCCTCCAATCAGGGTCCCAATTGCGTGCTCTGCTTGCAACGTCGCGCAGCACCCAGCCACGTGGGAGTGGTGTTTCTCATAAATTCTTCTCGGCAGTGATGTCAAGCTTCTAACATCTTCACGACGGAGCTTCTTGTTTGGGCAAATCTTCTCTCTTGGATCATATCTCTGCCAGCGAGTCAGCATCTCAAGTTGCCATATTGAGGAGATCGTCACCGCTCGAAAAGACAGGCCTCCATCCAAGATGGCTGAAAAGGCAGACAGCGTTTCCGATACGGCGCAGCCAGTTGAGCAGTCGGAAAGTGTCGACGGTAAGATAGTTCGACACGTCATCAATCTCATTCATAAACTGACGTCGTGCAGCGAAGTGGTATCGGACACCATTTTACAATGCCACGATTCTTGGCATGTGTAGTTTTGCAGCCCCCGGTCTTTGGGGTGCGATGAACTCTTTGGGTGCTGGTAAGTCTCATCTGAGGATTGAGGGTCCTTGTGCATCTATGGAAAATGAAGCGTCTGACAATGTTATAGGTGGTGCTCAAGAGCCATACCTTGTCAACACCGGAAACGCACTTACCTTCTGCCTCATGATCATCTCATGCTGGCTCACAAGTTCTGTTGTCAAATATGTCGGGATCAAGGGTGCCTTAGTCATCGGCACAATCGGGTTTGCTCCATACAGCGCAGGACTGTACCTGAACAACCGTTACGGCGTCGAGTGGCTCGTTATCCTTGGCGCTGCTTTCTGCGGCGTATCAGCTGGTATTTTCTGGGGCTCGGAAGCTGCTATTGCTATTGCATATCCTGAGCCTCACAACAGAGGGCGCATGATTGCTTACTGGCTTACCTGGACTCGGGTTGGG